TATTGTTTCCAGCTTGTCGGTCATCATCATCAATGGAACGGCGACAATTCCTGTTCCAAGTGTCGCGGCTCCTTTGACGATCACTACAGATGACCACACTTTCACCTTTTTCCCTCCTACGGGAAAGCCCACCGGTGGAATATCCGGTTTACCACCTACCACAGAGGTTTCTGGAAGTATCCTAACTACTACAGGATCGAATGGGCAGACAATTATCTCCAGTGGGAGTTTTATCATCATTGGAACCAGCACGGTTACCATTCCGCCAATAACAGCTCAAACAACGTTGATCACTGGCGGAGTCTCTTTCACTTTCACCCCAACTTCTGTTCCTGGGTCTCCCGGACAACAAACTGGGAACCCTTCAGTAACGACACTACCCAATGGCCAACCTTTTACTTTGCCGAGTGTGACTGCTCCTTCTACAATCACGATTGGAGGAGCTACTATAAGTCTTCTTCCATCGCCGCCGACAGGAGGCACAACTCAAGTTAACCAACCATCCGTGACAACTTTGCCCAATGGACAGCCCTTCACCCTTCCTAGTCCTGTCACAACTCTTCCTGATGGGGAGATCTTCACCATCCCTAGTGTAACCGCACCGGTCACTATCACCAGAGGAGGAGCCACGCTGACTCTTCTCCCCTCGCCTCCCATAACGAGTGGACCAACAGGCGGCCCTGGCACCTTCGTGCCAATTGTCACCACGCTCCCAGACGGTGAAACTTTTACTTTGCCTTCGGTGACGGCCCCCACTACAATATCGAGGGGAGGAGCCGTATTCACCATCTTGCCACCACCTCCAATCCCTACCGGTAGCACCACTGTTCTTCCTGACGGCGAGACTTTCACCTATCCTTGTGTTTTGACCCCAGCAACTACTATTGTCGGAGGTGCGACTATTACAGTGATGCCAGGATGGCCATGTGTCAGCGGACCTACGACTACGCCTCCTGCTCCTACAGGGAGTGTTACAGTACTGCCTGACGGGGAAACATTTACCTATCCGTGTGTCCTGTCTCCAGTGACCACCATAGTAGATGGCTTTACATTCCCAATATTACCGGGATGGCCATGCTTCGGCGCTCCGACAACTACCCCTCCTCCTCAGACAACTGATCAAAGCCTCGTCACATTTACTACATGGCCATCAGGAAGCTCTATCATACCTGTGACTACCACTGTGGAGCCTGAGTCGCAAGAGACGAACGGTCATACAAAGTCTACTTGCAAGCTATGGTTCTTCTTTGTAAGTGAAGAGCTCATGTGCCCGACGCCCGCCATGAAACACATTACGCTGACACCGTTTACAGGTCTGCATATCCTGGGAGGACATAGAAATTGGTGGTTGGGAATGGGATATTCCGCCCGGAGTATACCCCCCTTGTATCGGCGCAGGATCCTGCCCGCCCATCAAGTGGCCAGAAGGCATCCATATCTCAGGAACACTTCCCCCATGGCCAACGATTACGTGAGTCTTCATCGACTTCAGTAGAAAGATTCGATGATGAAGAGTACTGACAGACATTTCCATCAAGGGTTGGCAATGACCACAAGCTCACATTTGGGCCTAAACCCAGCGATTGTGTGCCCGAGACTGGCAGCGTCGGTGTCACCACAACATCATACTTTGCATCAACGAATCCGACTACAACGCAGACAACATCCTCAACTGTACTTTCGACTGATGTTACTTACGCCGCGTGCTCCGCTACAGAGACAGGTGTCACGACGACTGCAGAAACCACAGCTGCGTGCACTCTTCTGCCAACACAAGTAGCTCGAAGGGCGGAGCCATTCGTAAGGGGCGGTGCAGTTTTGGCTCCCCGTCAATCAGCAGCTCCAGGGCCGGACGACGTAGACTTCAGCTGTGAACAGCCCTCTGATACCACCATGGTTATCTGGATAAAAGATGATGACCAGGGAGACCCCAAGGTTATTACGGATCTGCTTGACCGCCGTAAACAACAGAACAGCCGAGGTTATTATGAGGCACGATCGACCGAAATGCAGGCTACTTTCTTTTACTATGGTTATAATATGCATCCGGAAGTTGCCTATCTCTTCGGGAACCAGAGCCAGGTATGTTTGCATTCTCTGAGCAGCTGATTGCGGGCGCTGTAATGCCGTCTTTGGGTCAATAGATGTTAATGGTGAACAGGTCGAAGCGGTAGGGGAGCTCAAGAACGGTACTATTGTAGACTTCTTATATGATGGTGATAATACGGATGAGTTCGGATCATTCGAGTCATCGTCAACTGGGGATATTCATCCTTTCGGTGCTGGCAATCCAGGAAATGCTAGTCTCCTCGCCCGGGCACTTCAAGCCCGTGCACCTGACGAGGAGATGAGCTTTAGGTCATGGGAGCGTTCCCAGGTGTCATGTCCCAGAGATCAGGACTGGGGTCTAGTTCCCGGCACCTACCAAGATAACCTTCCGAATCCAGCTGCGAACTCTCAGACACAAAGACAGTATACATCATACTGGGACGACTCATACGGTTATGGAGGCGTCTTATACATCCTGGATCATGACATACGTCTCTCACATCAGGTACGTCTATGGAACATCTTATATCCCTCATCTCACTGCGCTCCCGTCTTGTTGTCGTTGCTGACAAACATTGCGTGTGTTATAGGAGTTTCAGCAGAATCCCGCGAAACAGCCAAATCTTGTATCCCAAAACCATAGGCCAACATTCAATGGGGCTTGGGGTGGTGATCCAGCCAAGAATCCTGCTGCCCATGGCACCGCACATGCTTCGGTTGCGGTTGGGTACAATCTTGGGTATGCGCGAAGGGCGACTTGGAAGTTCGGTGCATTTGGAGACAGCTGTGAGTACTCCTGTAGCTTAACTTCTCGCACATCTATTGCTTTCTTGTTTTCTTAAACCGGCTGGTCTCTTGGTTTGTTTTATCGCTATACGAATTCTCTTCCCTCATCTGTTCTCCATCGGCTTTCGTTGTTCAACTTCAATGGAAGCAAGACCAGGACTAACTGAACGTGATCCTTGCAGCCGAGCACCTTCTCGATATTTTAATAAAAACGAGGGACGACCCTGACCTAATTACCGAGTACGGTGTAATTTCAATCACCTCCGGAGCTGAGATGCCTCCCACTGCAGCCCAGAGAAGTGCAACTCAGAACGCATTCGTAACTAACTTGGGTATGCCCGGCGTTTTTCAACCTCTTCTCCGATGAAACACCTTGTGTCCAAGAGCGCGTCGGCTAACAATATGGCCTACAGAAAGGGTTATGCGATCATTGATCGACGATAAGAAGGCAGTAATCACTGTTGCTGCTGGACATGGGCGTCGAACAAATCCCGAGACGCAACAACCTGCAACTCAGGCCGAAAAGGACCAAGTGGACAGGATTGAGCACTATCCGGCACATTTCGCAGTTGATGGAACCTTCTCTCAGATTATTCTCGTTGGAGGCTCTGACAAGAATGGTCGCCGTGCCCCTGATTGTCCTAACAATGCCCAGATTGATACTTGGGCACCGAACGGTCCCAGCATCGTTGCTGGACCTAATGGGGATGCTGACTATCCTCAACAGGCGGGCACTTCTCTTGGTGAGTTCCCACCAGTCGCATAAATGATTTCCATGAAACCCTATCGCGGAACTCGAAATGCTGACCGAGCTTTCTGTTTTAGCTGGTCCACGTGTAGCTGCACTGGCAACATATTTACGCGTTCTTCCCAGTGCGTGGGCAACGGGTCAGAGATTCAATATAGTTGGAACATTGTCAGATCCCGCAAACGTCAAGGCCCTAATTACAAAGCTACATGGGCCATGGGATCCCCCTTTAAGTCAGGACCCTGGGACCACGTCGGACTATCGAGGGGAACAACCTGAGCTCGTCAATGTAATATGGAACGGCAATAACCAGATGGAGAGATGTCTGCTGAGGCCGGGAAGAGACCGGAAGAGACAAGATAGCGACGCATGCCCCCTGCTACCTTCGAATCTTCAGAGTCTTGCCCCTGAAGGGACCCTCACCAACCTTCCCCCAAACGCCCCTGACTCCACAACACGGCCCACAATCTCGACTATCAACTTCACCAACTTGCCTACTCTCGGCACCACCACTCTCAACTGTGATTTCACAACTAGTACTACCGAATGTAATGGCCGAACAGCATGTGTTACTCGGCCTGTCTGTGGTACGCCTCCTCCGGTCACGACCACGCCCCCCTCGACGCCTCCCACTACTACTCAACCGCCAGTAACGCCGACAGGCGGCGGCAGACCTCCGCCAGAACCGACCGCCTACCTGGACATCGTATTCTCACAGTACTCGCCACTGAGCGCGCCGCTGCCCGAGAACACCTGGGAGTTCTTTGCGGCGCAGTTCGGTCAGAGCATCGACGTCTGCAAAGCCACGCCGGCATTGACGTCAAGCGCAGACAGCAATCTTGCTCTCAACAATGTGAATCCGCCCAAAGGAACGTTCAAGTTTCCGTCGGACGCGGCCATTGTTGGAGGATGTACGTATGACGCGTCAGATTTTGCCCCTGGGACGCTATCGTGCCCGGAATTGAGCAACACTATAACATGTGAGGCACATAGCGAGGATGCAGTGCAGTGTCCTGGATTTGAAACATTCATCGATGTTATCTGGAAAGTGAGGTGCCAGTGGGGTTAAGCGTTACGTTTGGTTTGAGTTGAAAGTTGTAAATTAGCAAATCTTGTCCGGAGAGCATTGTCGTCTTTTGCCAAAGCTATCAGTACTCAACGCTACCGCTGTGATCACGACCAGGTCTGAGCCTCTCAAGTGTATGCTGTGTAGCTGAGAGAAAACACTCTGTTTACTCATGTTAGACTACATCGAAACATACTCGTATCTTCGCATCTCAACACTGGGTGTTCTTGGACCGATGAGATTTGGAGCCTCAATTTTGACAGTGTGGCTATAGTTATCTACTCAAAAGACTCGTTAATGGTGTCACAGTATCTTTCTATTAGACCAGAAAAACTCTTCCTCATGGGCTGTTCAGCTTCTGAAAAGTTTCAATCCCTCTTCTTCAACAGACACGCCGCCCATTTCCTCGTCAGATACTTCATCCTCCTTAAGCTCCATCTTTTGACCGAACAACGTGCCAAAGAATCTGTCAATGGCATCCTGTTCCCAACTTCTCCGGTCTTCCGGTGCCATGAAATTTTGTATCTTCTCATGAACAGTAAACCTTAGCTTTCGCCCTTTACTGGCCTTCCGGTCAACCTGTTTCCTCGTCTTGGCCTCCTTGATTGCTGCCCATCTTACAGTGGGAACGGCGGATCCCGGAGCTGACGAGTCCGTAGTCCGCTGCTCTACTAGCTCCTTAAGAAGCAACTGGTAAAAGTCTGCGTCGTCGTAAATCTCTGGGTCTTCATTGACCTTCTTCGCAGCCTGAACCGGAGCACAAGACCGAGGCGTCTGGGTACGTTTGATTAGTCTGTCGGAGCTCAGAAGTTGGTCTTCCAGAACGTCGATCAGGGACTGTGTTGGCGCTGATCCCAGCTTGCGGGTCGTCGCGGCAGCTGTTGAGCTGCGAACCTTGCTAGACCATTTCTCCAGGACTCTCTTGCGATGCTTGGAAGCGGCACCTTCCGTTACTTCCATCTCCTCCCATATTTGCTGGCTGGACATATCTGACATGTTGTCACGCTTCCGCTTCTGTCCAGCTTTCGTAGGGCCCTCCGGAAGGATATTTGTGCGGAAATTGTCGATTGTATTCCATAATTTGATGGCGGCCTCCTCGGCAGCCTCATATGCCTCTTTCTCGACCTCCTGATCCTCATCCACCGTGTTGAGTGTATTGACTGCAACAAGTGCCTTTTGTAGTCGGATACGGATGTTCAAGAGCGAGTCGAATGCCCGCCTCTGTTGGCGAACTGCCACACCCTTGTCCGCATCCGCCTTCGCCGCTTGTGACATAGTAGCCACAATGTTCTTCTGGCCTTCACTCATGATTTTTCGGAGCTCGGCTCTTTGCGCGTCATCATCCCCATCTTCCTCGTCACTGCTGACATCTTCGTCCTCATCCTCATCTTCGTCGTCGTCGTCTTCCGCGGACCCACTTTGGCCGCTTTCTTCATCAGAAAATCCAGCGCCATCTTGTTCTGAATTGGAGTCCTCGTCGCTGAACTCGTCTGGGGAGAGTCCAGCGCCCCCATCGAGTACTCCGTCCTCGTCCTCCGATGCGGACAAGAAATCCGCTGCTACAGGTCTCTTTTTTCGCAGACCATTTTGTTTTGGCTTAGAGCTGCCTCGAAATGTAAAGTCGCCAAACTTTTCGCCATCGCTTTCGCAGAATGCCTCGTCGCTGTCAATTTCTTCATCGGCGTCGACATGGTCCCGTTCTAAATCGGCTGTCTCCGGATCGTCGTATTCTTCTGATCCAGACCCTTCTTCCGAGTCATCGCCATCGTCGTCCTCGTCATCTTGGCCCGCATCATCGTCACTCTCATCGAGGGCGGCTCGGCTGATTCGTGCGCCGCGGTATTGTGGTCCCAGCGATGGGGCTTCCTTCTTGTGGAGCTTGCTCTTGCTACAAACAGTCAGCAATGCGCTTTGTAAAGACTTCAAAAGAGAACACACCCAACCGAGACATAGTGCTCGGTGCCGGCGAACTCGTCAGCGCTCTCCCCGCTCAAAGCATCGTCTTCCTCGGCAGGCTGATCGGCTTCGGGATCGTAGTCTGAGGAGCTCCTGGTAAGTTGGAAGTCATGAAAAGTGTTTACGGTATGTTACCTTTGACTGGGCGCTCTTCCAGGTCAGCGAATTGCTGTGCGCGACCCTTTTTTGGCGCCATTGCTTCTTTGCTTTGTATAGACGAGGAAACAGTGCAAGCAAACCCCACTGCGGCAAGAGATTTCTGGCTGCGGGAGACTTTTTAGCGGTGGCGGCTGGCAGAATGCGACCAGTTTTCTTAGCTCCCGCACCTTGACTTCGCCGTGTCACTAGTACACCTCTGCCAGGGTAATAATTGTTATTTTCTGAGTGGGAATCGTGACTTTTCAGACAAGGGAGTTGCTACTTTTGTCGAGACCAGCAGGGCTATAGAAATAAACACAAGCTTTGAAACTCAATCAGGTAATCTCAACCCTGGTTTTCTGGTATATTCAACTCATTAAAATAACGTTTATTACCCTGGCGGAGGTGTAAATCGGGAATAGCTTATTCATTTGCATACTGGTTTCTTTGGAAATTCGGCCTCACGAAGTGGGATTTCCCCCCATCGCCATGAACGTCGTCCTTCAGAGTCGACCAATGGATATACGGCGTTCATCAATTTCGTAGACCACAGAAAACGCTACAGAGCGTTGGCCGGTTGGTCCTGACACTTCAGCCAACTGCCGCCTCCCCCAACAGGAATGTCATGTGTCAGAGCAGAGTCCAGAATCTTCTGATCTGAAATACCACCAAGCCTCATCAAGTCCCTAGCTCTGCAACTTACCAACTTCAATGTCATGTGCAAAGCTTCCTTTTTTTCCCTAATGCCGTTCTATTTTGAAACCCTATCTCAGACGTTGAAATGCCGAGGTGATATTCACCAGAAACCAAGGTAAGTGTAAAATGTCCATTTCTGCACAATTGCTCTCATTCGTTCTTATCACACCTACCTGCAAGCGGTTCACACCGATGCTATACCTTGTCCATGCAGCAGGCGAATGCGATTTGCAGCTGATATCGTGTTTACCACCCTTGCGAGCTCCCAGTAACAAGGTGTGCTGAGCTAGCCTCGCGTGCTTTTGCGCATCCTCGGATCCTCACCTGCTCTCTCTGAACGGGAGCATGCGGTATGAAACTCTTTCATCCCCCAAAATAACACTCAAGTGCCATCCTTTTCTCAGGGTGTTTCACCGGACCTAGTTGATGTGTTCTCGAAATTCTTGTGCTCCAAATACTCTCACCTAGTAGTTCCGCTGTCAGCGTCTACAAATATTACAGAACCTTCTCCACAAGTCCGTCAATTTGGGATGTAATGGATTATCGCCCACTGAGCAACTCCACGAACGAAATTCGCATCCTTTCGATCACTCCAGCAAAAGATCCTCAAAGCCCCATATCCTGCGAGCTTCAACATGTGCCGCTAGGAGTAGAATCGAATTATGTGGCCTTGTCCTATACTTGGGGTCCTCAGAGGAAGACTACCCCCGTAATATGTCATGGAAGAAGAGTCTTTATCACACCGAGCCTAGATGCTGGCTTACGTGAACTACGAAGCCGTGGTCATCTCCACGTTTGGGCGGACGCCCTGTGCATCAACCAGGAGGACCTCGAAGAGCGCAGTTTGCAAGTCCGACGCATGGCCGCAATCTATCGATCAGCTGCAATAGTCATAGCCTCACTTGGTGGGGACGATCCTGAGCAATGTATTCAGGTCAAGGAGCTTCTCAAGGCCACGAAGTATTTGATGGCATCTGCACCTGAACGATTCGATAAACGACGGTTCATCGTATCCAATCTCTATTATCACCTGAATATTGGGAAACTTCATTGGAATTCTCTGTATAATCTATTCACTTGCGAGTATTGGAGGCGAGTCTGGATCGTCCAGGAATTAGCCATGGCAATCAACTTAGAAATCATATGGGGGCATCAAGACTTATATCTTGAGGACCTTAAGGATGCACTGAACATTTGCAAGTTTATGGAGAACGAGACGACGGCTACCATCCCCCCCTTGGAGATGCGAAAGCATGTTCAACAGCTTTTAATTTTCAGGGAACACCAGGCGCAACTGAAACCTGTTCCCCTGATCCAGGCCTTGCTAATGTCACTCAATTCAAAGTCTTCAGACGTCCGAGACAAGATTTACGGGTTGATGGGCTTAACATATGATGGCGCCGTCATCTTCCCATCTCCAAGCTATTCCAGTCCGCCTGATGCCCGCTACTTTACAAATTATCAGCCAGACGCATTCTCTCGACTACATAATATTCAGAAACAGTCCACCAAAGTCGTGGGTTATCGACTGGTTTGGCGCAAATACATGGTCTGACCTGCGCATCAACCTATATTTAAGAGGTGATTCAAAGGTTCAAACTTTGATACGCAGATTTGGATATCGATTCGGTGAACAGACCGACGATCTTACAAAATGGACCGCTGCAGGGGCCAGTGTTCCTTCTATTCAACTGCACAATAACCTTTTGTCAGTCCAAGGCATCATGATCGATGTCATATGGGCATGTACGAACACTTTTGATGAAATATTTACGAGTTGTTACCAGAAGGACCGAGGTCCCGATTCACACAAGTCCCATCGTCGTGTAAAAGTCCCATCTCAAAATGAGACAGCATCTGTCCTTGATTATTCTAGTTCCTATGAGCAAAGCGCCCTATATCACTGCTTATGCGAGATGACGGTGCTAGAAGAGGATGACAGAAGGGTGAGGGGCATTCGACATTTTTACAAACAACTGTATACAATCATGCGGACAGGATATCTTAAGGGCAAAAGGAATCCAGCTGGAGATGCTCTGAAAACCTGGGTGCAATCTGAGATACGTCAGGTCTTGGTTGACGACGACACTATCGAGCAACTTTTTGGGTTGCCTGTAACAGCCTCGTCGGTATTGCAAGACATTTGGTACTGGGTAGGACGCTTGAAACATGAGCCATGTACTTCGTTGATAACAACAGCCACAGCAGCTCTTCAGATGGGCATGAGACTGTGCAGAACTCATGGAGGAAGGATTGGCTGGGTGAACAAACATGCCGCTCCGGGAGATAAAGTTGCTATTCTACTTGGCTGCAGCGCCCCGGCCATTCTTCGAAAGATGCGCAATGGTGCTTACAAGGTAGTGGGTGACAGCATCATTCATGGTTTGATGCAAGGCCAGGGCATGGAATATGGCAAGCCAGAGCTGTCAGAATGGCCCAGGATTAGTTTGCGCTAGTATACAGATTCGTGTTAAAAGCATCAGCACATCAGCACATCCGTACGGGAGAGCTCGTCTGCTAGGTCTTTTCATGAGGGTAGAGGAACGGGAGATAGCCTGAGACGAGAGTAAGCAAATGTAGGTCATGCTTTGAACAAATAGCCCGATGCTGAGACAGCTACTTAAGGAACACATCGATGCCAACAAGAAAGTTTGTACATTGACGACTTGCCTGTTCATTTGTAGTCAGATGTCTGGTATGCGAATTCTCTGTTCAAGAACCACCGTCTGGGCACTAGGAGTGTAATTAATGACTACCACTACACTTTCCCTCCATCAGCCTGATTTGCTAGCACTATCATGTCGCACTTGAAACGTTCGAGCCATTTCATTGCATGCATGTGGGACGTCTGCAAACCTAGTCCAGCTGAGAATCTGCGATATGACGCAAGCCATTCATTGGTACCTTGAACAACTCCATACTACACAGTCGCGAGGGTGAATTTATTCACATATTTACATCGCGAGCTTTCAGTCAATATACGGCAAATCACAAGACATTTGGCAAAGAGTTCTTTTCCATTCGGGCCATTCATGTTTCAAGTGATGCTTGCAGTAGTGTGTTCAAATCACTGTCAGACACCGAGCAGGTGTCGTGCGCGATGTGAAATGAGACGTGCTAAGGACACCCTCGAAAACAAACTGATAAAGGAAATGGATCCAGACCCGAGAACTCATTTGAAGATACGATGAAAGACTAGTATCATCACCGCGTTAGTCTAGATCCAACGGTCGGGTCGGGATCAAACGATAGGGTACCATGATCTTCCCGCGACGCAGGTAGAGGAGCCGCCTTAGGCGTTTGGCCGCCGTTGGGCGGCTTCACTATTACGAATCGTCAGAGAGATCGGTAAACTTCGTAGGAATGCCCGATTAATATGCAAGACTTAAGAACCACACTCCTTGTAGCCTGATATAAACCCTCGAATTAAAGACGTTGAGCATGGTGGTCTAACGTCATATCAGGTTGAGTGGTGTGCAAGGATGTGTAAGTGATCCCTGTGGCTGAGGGGGCATGTGGAGGTGTGGCAGAAGGGTATGACGTCGCCACGCCTGGTCACCCGTCCGTGGCTTATATCTATCACCAGCCGACGTTGAACAATTCTGATGTTCATCTATTCGAAAACAAAACACCCAAAACATATCCACAAACTTGGTTTCATCTTCCAAATACTCATCATGTCTGGAAACAACAACGGCGGCATTCTCGGCGGGCAAGTACATGCTCTATGTGCTGTTCGATAACCTCACTAACAATAGCCTTCATATAGACTCGGGGGTGCACTCCAAGGCGTCACAGGAGTCGTGGGCAACACAACAGGAGGCTTGGTCAACACCGTAGGAGGCGTTGGTATGTGATTTCTTACCTGTCTGTTCGTCTTCACACTGCTATCTCGGGTTCATGCTGCCGAGAAGGTGACCTTTTGTCTCTTCATGCATCTCCAGCCTTGGTATCCTCAGTCACTAACTTTCCATGTCACAGTCGGAGCAGTAGGCCGCGGATTGGATGAGACAGTCACGGGGGCTACTGGAGGTGCCGGGAAGCCAGTTGGCAATGCTCTCAGTGGTCTCGGCAACGGTGTCGAGAACGCTGGCCAGGACGTTGCCAAGGGTGCCAAGGACGCAGGCAACTGGAAGTCCTCGTAAAGAAGGACGGCAAGACTCTATACTTCTGCGATTGTATTGGTAAGGCATAGGCATATTGTGGCTACAAGGCTCAAGGGATGGCCGAGAATGATTGTCAACTTAGCGTAACGGATTCAATCCAAGATTGCAACAACCACATCATATCAAACCGTCCACATACGCATGATGACAGAGTGGCTCAGTGAGAAAGGGGTATCGTCGAATTCGGACTGACTGACTGACTATCCTCTCCAAGCCCAAAAATCCGAGCTCAAGAGCACCAAACCGTGGCCACTACCAAAGTATCGGAAAGAAGTACATACACACATCCATCCCCATGGCATTACCGTAAGATATATATGAACAAAGTTTGGTGTTTCAAATCGTACGTGCCATATGCACTCGCCCAACAGGGGTAGTCAGTCCTCCACATCAATCTGTCAAACTTCCAAATAGCCCAAGAAATCATCAGGTGTGATCTGATCTTCTTGGCATCTCGAAACAATCCATCTCCTTTGCCGGGAAAACGACCGAAAGGGGGTATAATAGGAATGCCATATGTATTCATATAAAGGCTGAACATTTGCTAGTCTTGTTTCAGACCACAAGCATGATTAAAAAGTGTATAGTACGTGCTGATTAGGCACGGATCTAGAAGATGAAGGTACCCTCATGCCGTTTGGCTCACGTCCTCCATGGACCGAAGCATGCGGATGTTTTGCTCTTTAAGATCGCCATCAAGAGCTTGGAGCGAGTTCAAGCCGTGTCGTGCTTTAGCTAGCTATAGATGCCGAGTTAGCGAACGGATACGAAAGGTATTGTGGACGGAATGAAAACAGGAGTCGAGGGGTACTGCATCAAGCAAAGGGCGCTCGCACCGAAGCTAATGCCACTGAAGAATTGTCCGTCTCACCTTCCGCCGTCGCCTCTTCCTTGTCCGCGGCGGGGGCCTCGTCGTCGTCGGCGAATCGGCTGGCTGCAAGACCGCTCTTTGTTGGTGTAGCGGGTGCTGCCTGAGCCTGTTATATCCACGTTAATGAAACACTCCATGCGTCAAAAGATCATAGGAGCCTACCTTAGCCTCAGCGATCTCAGCATCCTTCACCTTCAGTTGGGCAAGCAGCTCCTCGATCTTGGACTCGGCGGACTCGGCCTTCTTAGTGGCCTCGGCAACCAGTTCAGTCATGGAGTCGTGCATGTCCTTGTAATCAGCCTCGGAAGTCTTCTGCTTGGCAACAGCGTCGAGTTTGTGGGCCTCGAGCTCCTTGCGGGCAAACTCGAGATCCTCCTGGACTGTGGTGAGTTCCTCAGAGACTTGAGCTGACTTGGACTTGGCTGCAAACAAGGCGTCCTCGTGGGCCTTCTTCAGAGCAGCGAGCTCCTCAGCAGCCTTCGATGACTTGGACTCAGCGGCGGCAATATCCTCCTCATGTGACTTCTTCAACGCAGCGAGCTCAGCCTTGAGAGCATCCAGCTCTGAAGTATCGGGCTTCTTGTTCTTGGCCGCATCGAGCTCAGCCTGGGCCTCAAACTTCTCCATCGTCTCATGGGCCAGCCTCTGGCCGAGGTTTGTGATTTCTTCTTGCGCCTTTTCCAGCTCTGCCTTGATGGCTTCAGTTGCGCTCTCGAGCTCGGCCTTTGCGGCAGTGAGCTGGGCGAGCTCATCAGCAGCGGAAGAGCCACTGGCCTTCAGCTCTGAGATAGCAGCCTCGTGAGCAGACTTCAGAGACTCCAGCTCGGCCTGAGCACTGCTGGCACTCTCCTTCTTGAGAGCGTCAATGGCTTCGGCGTGCATGGTGATCAGCTTCTCGACCTCAGCAGAGTGGCCCGATTCGAGCTCATTCTTAGCCGCAGCCAATGCAGATGCGTGGCTGGCCTCTGCTTCTGTCAGCTTAGCCTGAGCCGCCTCCAGATCACTCTTCAGGCTTGAAGCAGCCTCGAGCTCGGCCTTGAGCTGGTCAACCTCAGCAGCATGTTTTGCTGAGAGCTCCTTCTTCAACTCCTCCAGCTGAGCGGCACTGGCGCCCTCGCCGGCGGACTTCAGAGCAGCAAGCTCCTTCTCATGGCTAGCAAGGAGCTGCTGCTTCTCGGCCTCGGCCTCGTCTTTCAGAGCGTCCAGAATATCGGCATGAGACGCCTTCAGAGACTCCAAATCCTTAGCAAGAGAAGCCTGGCTTTCGGTCTTCAATATCTCAACCTCCTTAGAGTGAGTGGCCTTCAGCGCCTCTAGTTCAGTGACGTGAGTTTCCCTGGCAGCAGAGATGTTGCTCTTAGCACCCTCCAGCTCCTCGGCGTGGCTCGCGCGGATGGCGTCAAGCGCCTTCTGATGCTCGGCCTGTTCGGCCTCCAAAGCCGCCTTCGCAGCAGAGAACTCAGCCGTGGCCGCCTCTAGCGCCTTCGCGTGGCCGGAAATAGCCTCGTCGTGCGTCGTGCTCAGCTCCTTGTGCTTCTCCTCCAGGTCGTGGAATTTGCGCTTGTACATGGCGTCGCCAGCAAGGCTGTTGATCTCCTCCTCATAGTCTTTCGAGATCTGCTCCAGCTCTTTCCTGTGCTTGTCCTCGACCGTGGCGTGCTCGTGCTTCAGGGCGGCCAGGGCAGCGTCCTTGCTCTTGTTGTCCTCCTCGAGAGCAGCCAGCGCCTCCTTGGCCTTGCTGGCCTCCTCCTTTGCCGACTTGAGCTCAGCCTCGATATCGGCAAGTCGAGCCTCCAATCCGCTCAATTGCGTGGTCTTGGCGTCCAGCTCGGTCTCGGCGGTCTTCGCGTTCCTTTGAGCCTCTTCTAGCTGTGTCTTCAGGTCGGTGATGTCAGCCTCTAGGGCAGATAGCTTGGCCGTGCTGGCCTCGCTCTCCTGTGCGAGCTTCGCCTCGTGGGCGGTCTCGAGAGTCGCTTGCGAGTCCGTAAGCTCATCGATCTTCTTCTGCAAGTCGCCAATGGCAGACTCGTGGTTGGCCTTCTGGTCAGCCAGGGCCTTCGCGTGGTCAGAAGATGCGGCCTGGCCCTTCTCGAGCTCCTCAGCGTGCTTGGCCTCGAGCGCGGCAATGGCAGCCTTGTGCTGGTCAACCAGAGACGTCTGCAGAGCCTCTAGCTTAGCAGCATGCTCCTCAGTGGCCTTAGTGAGGCCAGCCTCGCTCTCGTTTAGCTTCGCGTGGTGCTCGGCCTGGAGCGTCTCCAGGGTCTGCTTAAGCGATGCGATCTCGGCATCAGTGAGTTCCTTGGAAGCAGCCAGGGACTCGAGATCAGCCTTCTGCTTCTCGAGCTGCTCCTCGGCCTCCTTGAGCTTAGCCTGCGCCTCAGCGAGCTGGCTCTCGAGACCCTCCAACTCAGACTGATGCTTGGCCTTCAGACTCTCGAGCTCATCGCCCAGCTCCTTGCGGATGCTTTCCTCGGCGCCCTGACGGCCCTCCTCGCCGTGCGATATCTTCTCGCCGAGTTCCGTCACCTTCTCCTGGGACGACGTAATTTGCTCCTTCAGCGAGGAGATCTCTGTCTCGCTCTCCGTGAGCTTCGTCTTGAGCTCCTCGATTTCTCTCTCGGCGGCGGCGGCAGCGCTGGCGCTGGACGTCGTGCTCTGCATCGATGCGCGCGGCGCATGTCGGGCGGCGGTCGTGCTGCTGGGGGCGCCAGTGGCCGCGGTTGAGAGCCGTTTCTTCGCCTCCGCCACGGCACCGGTAGGAGCGGGTCTCGTCGCCGTGCGTGTTGTAGCTGAGCCGGTGGGGGCGCTGGAGGTCGCGGCCCGGGTGGCAGAGGTCGTAGTTCGGGGTGAGGCGGTGCTGGTCGAGGACGTGACGGGCTTGCGAACCGCGGTCGTGCCAGCCACTGGCTTCTTCTCTGCCGTCGTAGTCTTGGATGGCGACGAGGTGCTGCTGGTGAGAGTCGAGGTCCGGCGAGCAGTCCCGGTGGTGCCCACGGTGGAGGTGCGCTTCTTGTCATCCTCCGAAACGGACGGCTGCGTCCGGTGCGTAGCGGTTGAGCTAGTTCCCGCGGGCCGCTTCACGACGGTCGAGCCCGCAGCCGGTCGGGTAGGCGGCTTGCTCAGACCGCCGGTGCCAGCTGTGCTCGTCCGGCCGGCGGGAGCAGCGGCCGGCTTCGTGGCATTGCCGGAGACTACGCCTGGTCGTCGCGCGGTCGTCGTGGAGGACGCGGTCGCTGGCTTTTTGACGCCGGTCGGGGTGCCCTCTGTCTTGGTGCCATTGGTGGCAGAAGGGGCCTTGGGCTTGAGCGCAGGCTCGTTGGCGGGCTCGGCGGGCTTGGGAGCAGGAGCCTCCTCGTGCTGGACAACCTCGAATCCGTCGGCGTCAGACATGGTCGTCGTGTGAGCTTGGAGACGCGGGTGACGCGATGCGATATGCTTTTAGGGGGCGACGGGTGGGTTCTGTAAGTGGCGGTAAGCGTTAGCAGGGTAGCTCCTAGTTCCGTCTAAATGTTTTCGCACGAATCTCGTAATTGTCGATTGACTACTGTGAAAATGCAGAACCGCAAGCTTTGAATGCCGCAGGAAGCTCACGAGCCTCGCTCAGCTGCCGTATATGCATTCCATGGAGGGGAAGTTGGGCTGAAGTGGTAGGTGCTGACCTGAAATGCGACGCCTCCTTTTTCACTTTTGATTGGTATCGTATCGCAGACGGAATGCTTAAGTGCTTTTCTGCTTCCCGCTGATGGATGCCTAAGATCCAGCTGCCAGACAGAAAACAAACAACTCGAATACAAGAACAAGAAAGAATACAATTCTCCTGCTCCTTCTTGGGAAGATCTCCTCGAATTGGTACGAGAGCGACGATGGATGGTCGTTGAAGGAGAGATTGGAGGAGAGAGTAAAAAAAGAAAGGGAAAAAGAGGTCCCCTGGTCGCGGGTCGCACGGGGCCACTGCCAGCTCAACTGGCAACCAGGACAAGAACAGGGTCAGGGCCAGGGCCGGGCCAGGGCCGGGGACAGGGCAGGGGGGGTTGGTGGGTGCAGCTACGGCGCTAAAGCAGGGAGGACGTTCAGATTCAGAAGAAGAAAAGTGAAGAGAGTTAACGTTAGAGCAAAGTGAACAGCGGCATGCACGGTTGCCTCAGTCAGTCACTGCGGACTTGTCGATTTGATAGTTTCAATCAGCTGAACGTTTCTGGTAGCAATGGCGGCTTGAATTGGCTAAAGAGGCGAAACAGAACGGGGGTTGCGCGATGGAGGCAGTTTGAAGATTGGAAATGTGAAGAAGCCAGCCGGAATCTGGGAACTTGCTCTATGCTGTCTTATGCGCCCACCGCGCTGAAATGCTGCCGGCTGTGTCAGAGTTGCGATCGTCTCCTGGGATCCGACTCAAGACTTCTTAGCAGAGCAATTAAGACAAGAAAGCTGCTGGTCAGCGGTTCGCCGCCGAAAGAGGCTGATCCTTGACTGTAACAATTACGCAGTCTACTATGCAGTATACGGCGAGGTAGCGTCGTTACAACCTCGTCATGATAGTCCAGAATCCAGATGCCCCTGCGACATTGGTGCACTGGCCGCCCCGACCCAAAAGAGATCTACGCAGTACATTAAACAAGCTGCCAGCAAAGCAACAAGATAAATGCCGATTACTTCCCTTGGTTCTACCACCCACCCACCCATTCCAGGAATCGTCCAAGACTAGCGCATGCCATCTCGCGGAACTCCTATTCCAGGACACTCTGAGGCGTTCAGAGGCTACGAGAGGGCAAATTGGGGTGCATCGTCCGTTGTTCTGCATCCCAAAATCGAACAAATTAGATGACCGTTTTGAGATGATAATTGGCTTCATGAACGCGCCCCGCGCTGCCCGACCCACAGCTCCTCTGGCGTGTTTCTTCAATTAAAAGGCTCCCCGTCGCACGCGTGTGGCTGCCCGTGCGCGCGTCATTTACTACAGAGTAACAGGGTAGCTCAGAAGCTAGGTAAGCTTGGGCAGCTTCTTTGTGACTTGTCATCAAATCCACTCATCCAACCAGAACACGATGATGCTGAGCTGGGCTGAGATGTAATGGCGAGTTGGGGCTGTATCTAGGACTGGTCTCTCGGTTCAATCACGTAGATATGTATGCTCAGTTCAATTATGAGGTCGTAATCGCGATTGAATTTGACGCTCTTGAATACATGTATACGTATATACATATATATTCATATTCATCTGTTCACTGAGAGAGCAATGAATCAAGAACTTCAGGGGCCAGACCCAGCCGCAGTGGGGAAGCTAGACGCCACCACCAAAGCCATGGGAACGGACCGTTTTAATACGATTGACACGCCATTGCACTGAAAGCCTCACTCGCTAACGCACGTCGGGTAGAGACACGCATGGCTGATAGTAGCCTCATGATCCTTTCAAGATGATGTGGCAGACACTCACTGGTGTGACGGTATGCCCAATATCGCTATAGCAATCCATCTCAGAGTCCAGCTTATGCTATCATGTTTGTGATCGATCAGCTGCAGGAAAGCAATGTCAGTGGACTTGATCCACCACCCAGCCTGTAGCTACTGTTCTCAACTTACAGCAGAGAGTGCGACGTATCAAGCACCAAATCGTTTAATGGCATACGATATGGATGCGAGTCAAGAACGTTGTTAAGCGGGACCTCTACAACGTAAAGCAATAAGGTATATTGAGTGATCGCTAATCATCAGTGAAACCTGAACTCCTCCCACATCGATACGTTGTCAAACCTCGACAGATTCATATACCCAGGGACAAATGCAGGCCCGAGCAGGGTATATACTCCAGCAGCCTGGGCATCTGGCCTCTGCCGCCTTGCAATCATCGGCACTGCGACGCCTCGGAGAATGAGTATTTCATCCCCCCCAGCTGCCCCTGTGGGACCAGAGCCAGTATGCCCATCTGCCGAGAAGAAGATTCCTCGCATACCCGCCATACCATTCACCAGCTTCACGTACTCTTGGAGAGTATTGGGCTCCCTCCTCAACTTCTGCGTCATCTCCTGTGTTGCTTGGGCTCGCAGAGCCGAACTTTCTACCAGGCGGACAGAGTTGAAGGCTGCAAGGTGTTTGGAGATCATTCGGAAGCATTCATTAAAGGCAGAGGCTGAACCCGTGGTGTTGTCGGCCTCCCTTCCGCAGAGCACGTCGTACACGGCGCTAGGGACAGAGTCGTATGACGGACTAACTGGCGCTTCGTTGCGAATCAATGATATCCAATGAGAGAGTATATAAAGGGTCGTCTGTAAGGCAGAGACCGACGGTGAGTTGTCGTCTTCGAGCTCTTCGACGTTGACCCTCGCAAATGATCCGTGGGCAAAGGTCAAGCAACCAATTGTACGAGCGGGGACGGCCAACTCATTGCCTGAGATGGTGACCTGCAGGTCTGACGTGGATTTGTTGGACCTGTCTATGTCCTCGAAATTGTCGAATAAATATTGAGGCTGTAGCCACCTCCGACCGTGTATAGTGCTCCAGTCTGGAACCCAAGAGGGTGTGTTGGGCAACGTCGTCCCTATATCGATCAGAAGGCTGATCATGGCTGGTCGCCATGTAACCAGGTCGGTCAGAAGCTTCTGATACACCAGACCAAGTTGGTCTTTGTAATCAGGTTGTGACACTGTGATCCCGAGGCTGGAAAGAACGCCATACATCGCAAAAGACTTGTCCTTAGCGACAGATGCCTGTCGTTCTTGTAAGGCATGAATAATGCCGATGAGAACATTGGACTGCTCTCTTCGTTCCCCTTGTTGCTCCGCCTCGTACTCTGTGCGAAGTGCAAGCACTCCCATTATAACGAGGTAAAGTAATAAAAGTGTGCATCCCCAGAAACCAAGAAAAAAGATTACCGCTGGAAAAATAAATATAAAATTACTTGAACTCCTATAGAACATGCTGATGACAAGTGCAACAAGCGCGGCCCATGCCAAAAGGGGAAGACTAATTCGTACTACTTGCTTGAAAAGTTCGAGTCGTCGCCGTGTAAATACAACTTTCCTGTATGCATTGACGGACCACTCGTTCAGCATCCTCGACGGAACACTTGGCAGCTTTCGGATCTCTTGACCATTCCAGACTACTGGACGCGTAATACTGAGCCAGATCGAGAAGAGATGGTCCCATGCGGCCATTGAAGGCATGGACGTATGTTGAAGTTCCTTGAACACGTTTTGTAGATCAGACCATCCAATAGCTCCCGTGCCACATACAACGATCGGGTTAGAGGCGAGAACCACCTCTTGGAAAGTCCACGCGCGAAGAAGCCAATCGTGATGTAGGAGACTCTCTAACTCTTTAGGCTCAGGTACGTCGTCGTGACCTAGAAATCAAAATCCCTCAGTGAGCATACGCACAAATTGTACCAAGGCTAGAAGGAAGATCAGATTGAACTAAGGATCCGCCAGTAAATTCGCCATCCCGGCGGCTCTTGCTTAAAGCTACTCTTCAAATGCAAGCAAAGACTGACGACTTACTGTAGCGGGTAAATAGGCATCGGTAACATGAACGGGTATATTGAAGCAGGTCTTTGAAGACGCTGATATGCTTTGTTCCAGTAAGCCACGGGATGCCTGGAGCATTTGGAATTGCTTTGGACATCCGCAATAAGCCGCGCAGAGCTCTATCAGCTGGAGCATTCCCCGGCCCAAGCCAGATGTAGACAGCCTCCGCCCAGGTGTAAATTTCACGTATGAGTGGAATTTGTACCGACTTTTCTGCTTCGTCTTCCTGGTTGATACAGATTGCATCAATCCATATGGTCATGGCGCCGTAGATGTGGCGCAGAGCGCAAACTGCCTCATAGCAAGACTTTGTCACAGGCACAGCCGTTGAGTTGCACCAGACTACATCTCGGGCAGGTGAGGACTCTCCCCATACGTATGATAACGCCGTGAAACTGGGAGAGTCTCGTAGGTCGACTAGCCGTAAAGTACCGTAAAGGGGGCCTGTCGGGTTTTCATTATCGCAGAATACATCTAAAATACGAATCCACGAAGCCTTGCTTAAAGGCAACGAGTCGTAAAGCTGAGTTAATTGTGTCTCGTAGCGGGGTGGCATATCTGGTGTTCGCTCGAGTTTCGCGACCTCGACGACAACGACATCTTCGGGCATCGCCATGTACGTTCAAATTGAGAAAATGAATGGCTTAATCTTTCGCACCCGTCATCAAGTCAAGGGATTCTTAGGAGCGGGACCTGCGCCTTTTACCAAAACGTCCACAGCCTTGCGGACATTTGCAGCCATAAATACCAGGCATTACCGCATACGCAAATGCAGGTGGTGTAGGTTGATTTAGAAATGAGGCTTCAAAGATTCACAATCTGAGCCAATCCTTTGTTTGAAACTTCCATTACACACAGTATGTCTGGACTCCTTGCAAGTAGGGAGAACTACCACACTGCGATATGTTGATGATATGCTTATAATCCACTTCGCAACTTGCTAGAGTCCCGGTACAACCCTGCCGCCGATCATCTCTTGTATGTGCTGCTTGACATCGTGCTCATCCCGGTTCAGCTTCTTCGCGATTCGGGGTACGTTCAACGTCCTCGAATATTTGAGCTCCACCCGGATTATATCGTCTTCATCCGCTCGCCAGTCCGGCCAAACAGGGTCGTAGAACTGGTCTGGCTCGTGCTGACTCTGTCCTTGCTCACCATCATCGCCAAATGGCTCGTCATTCGCTTCGGCTAATGGATGTGTTGATCTGTCCCTGCCCCAAACCCAGCGTGCTCCAACTGGATCCGGCACGTTTCGGAGAGCGTGTGTAGAGGCGACCCATTGCTGACTTGCCTGACTAGAACGCTGCTCTACCGTCTCTCTGAATTCTTCCTCCTCCTCCATTGCCTCGTCCCATTTCCTCTTCACGGGATCCGTCCTAGCACGAATATCTTGAGTAGATGCAACGAACGCTTGCCACTGTGTCAGAAATCGCTTCTTCTTCTGCGCTTTCTTCTGTTGTTCCTGAATTCGAGCCTCACGCTCGAGGTCTTTAGCCACCTCAGCCCTTCGTTGTCGATCCTCAGCTTCTTGCTTCCTCTCTTCCTCCTCCCGCTGTTTCTCCTTGAGCTTGTCAATGACTCCTTGAAGTCTGTCACGAAAGCTACCTAGATTTTGACGGAAGTCCTCTCGGGATTTCAGTTTCTGGTCTCTCTTGACAATATCACCATGGCTTAATCTATTCTCAGCGGTTGTGAACTGGCGTTCGAATGGCCGCTCTTCAAGTTCGCGAACAACGACTACTGCCAGCTGAAGCAACCATTGAGTTTCTTTGAAAAGGAATTCCAATGTTTTGTTGGTAAATCTCCCCTTCGCCCTTGCACGAGCGGGATTTTCGGCTCCTCCAAGAAGGAATGTTGTACGAAGGACAATCAAAATCGCAGGTATGCAGTAATAAATCATATCCTGAGTCATCTTCTTGCGAAAGTCAAGCACCTCTTCTGACAGCTGCTCATCGACTTGAGGTTCTGCTAGCTTCTTATCACAGGTCAAATCGACGAGTTTTGTGATATGACCAAGGGTTCTTTCGATCTCGTGAGCTTTCTCATTCAGGAAGTCGTTGAGCTCCTCCAGAGTGCGGAACGGAGAGCCGTTTTGGAAAATATTCCATAGGCGATGAGTCGCGTTCCAAATGTTCCGGCAGTGTTTTGTATTCGGTGATCGTGAAGAGTTCAGGTTGCGATTCATTTCTCGGCCAATTTTCGCTTCCCATCTTGAGCCATGACTTGTCCAGCCCGACTTGCCCATTTGTTTGAGCATATTAGCTAGACTGCCCACTTTGATCTCGACGAACTGCTCATCACCCAGCTCTGGAAGATTGCCAAAGTCCAAGATCTGTTCGCCTGCGTCCTTGTCCACAAACATGCTCTCTTCGGCATCGGCCACCTCCGACTCCGCATTGGGAGCTGGGGCGTGAAATGCTTCTTCTGGAGGTGGTATGTCTCCATCTTCGTCGGCATCATCAGCTAGGACCTGCTCTACCTGTTGACGGCTCTCGGAAGTGATAGGCGGAGGTAGATTTCGCTCTAGTGGCGCATCCTCATTATGGACGCTTAGAACAACAGGCAGACGATGCATTCTGCTTTGTGCGCGTCGCGACTTCTGAGCCCGAGACCTGGGGCCAGCGGACCGCCCTCGATTCGAGGACTCTCCTTGCTGGTGACTAACCCCTTCAGCAGTCTGGGGCCGCTCAGAGGCTTCTCTTTGAAGTTGTTCATCAGGTCCTTCTAGTTCTGCCGCGGGAAGAGACCCGCGTATGCCGTCATTTACAAGGTCGAAATTTACTTCCACGCGATCATCATCATCATCATCTTCTTCTTCCTCATCATCACCTTGCTGTATGCGCTGTCGCTTGTTGGCCTGTGATGAGCTGAGTTCGTCCACGAGCAGGTCCAACATGTGCTCTGGCACGTGTTTTCCCTTCTTTGAATTGGCATTAGTGTTGTTGACCTTACTTGTGTTGCGAGTTTGCCGTTGTGGCCGCGCAGGAACGGGCTCCTCCGTCTCTTCTTCTGGTGAGCTTTGTTGTGCTGGTGTTGGCGAGACGTGCGTGCCTCGTCTGGTCTGAACCATGTTGCTCCACGTTGACTCTCTCAATCGAGGTGAGCAGACCTATAAACATATGGAAAATAACAGAATAACTCTATTATTCTCTTACTTTCTCAAGAGAACTAAATGCTTGAATTGTGTGAGAAGAGTTCTGAGAAAATAGGATTGATCGTGGGAATCGTGAGACGCGTCTAAACGGAAGGTGACAGCCCCCAAAAGGGAAATGTGGGGCACCGGGAAGCCTAACAAGCTCCTGCCGTCCCCCAAAAATTGAATTCAGGTCCCTGGCAGGCCCCTGCGTGTCTCGTTTTCAACTGTCTGAATTACAGCTCGTCGACACCAACTGCAGTTGCGCCAATCCAGCATCAAGTTGCCACCTGTGCCTTAGGTTTGAGGCTCTTCAATTTGGGAACTCTCTAATAAGTACTTGACCAAACATGTTCAAGCAAACTTGACTCCCTGCGTGTTGAGCATATTCTCGCCTACTCTTGAAGCTTAGAAGCTCAGCAAGGCTTACACACCCCACATGACGACAGCGGGGTGGTGCAGCATCTTCATGCGTTAGTGCCTGTCCTACACTTCAGCACTCAGCCTTACTCACTCGCTGAAACCGTTTGATAGAGCTACACTCTTCTGCAGTAGCCTCGTGCCATCTATTGACCTGCCACTCCTTTGACAGCCATGGATCCTCCCTTCCAGCAAGCCGCCTCACAATCCAGCACTGCCGGCAGCTTCCCCCGGCTTGAAGTATTAGACCCCGCGACGCCGCATACCTTCAGCACTCCGTCCAAGCAGATCAACGATGGGCCAGACGTTGCGCGTTTCCTCACCTCCAAGGCATACCGAGACATCGGTACGTTCGTCCTGCAGCTAAATCGTGCGCTGTGCCCTCGGAAAAGCGACGGCGGGCCGTCCAAGACTTTCCCTCTGGGTGTAAAACGCTCAGAATCAGAATCCATCCGCAAACTGCAGCTGCTATTAGAGAAGGCTGGGAGCTTCATCGAGGAGGCGCCGCCAGACCCTGGCCCGAGGAGATTCGGCAATGTCAGCTTTCGGACGTGGCATAAGCTACTAGAGGAGCGCGCGACGAGTCTGTTGAAGGAGTATCTGCCGAGTGAAATCCTCCAGTTTCCCGCGACTTCTCGGGAGACATCTAGTGATGACGAGGCGTCTTCAAGTGAAGGAGCGATCGACGAACTGAAGTCTTACTTCCTGGGAAGCTTCGGTAGCTCTCAGAGGTTAGATTATGGGACTGGCCACGAGCTGAGCTTTCTGGCTTTCTTGGGGTGTCTTTGGAAGCTCGGTGCTTTCAAAAATGAAGCCCAAGACGGGGAGATCGAGCGAAGTATAGTGCTCGAAGTCTTTGAACCGTATGTCGCCTACACAATTACCCAGTGTCTCATGCTAATAATTGATCCAGCTATCTCAAAGTCGTTCGTCGGCTAATCCTGACGTACACTCTAGAGCCAGCAGGTTCTCATGGAGTTTGGGGGCTTGACGATCACTCGTTCATGCCGTATATCTTTGGCTCCGCTCAATTAACACGGCCCATTACTGAAAGCGAAGTTATGCCGCTTGAGGGATCAGTAGAGCGAGCTCCTAGACCTAGCGATGTCACGAAACCGGCCTCGGTTGAGAGGTTGCGGGAAGTCAACATGTACTTCTCCGCCATAGGGTTCATCAACGATGTCAAAAAGGGACCGTTCTGGGAGCACTCCCCTATTCTCTTTGATATCTCAGGTATCAAAGATGGATGGGGCAAGATTAACAAGGTATGCTTCCTGTGCGTATGAGAGCTGCACATCTACCCATACTGATACCCTTTTCAGGGCATGATCAAGATGTTCAACGCCGAGGTCCTCTCCAAGTTCCCCGTCGTGCAGCACTTCCCATTCGGCTCGCTGTTCAGCTGGGAGCAAGACCCGAACGCCGCCACTCCACAACAAACCATCCACATGGCGAACCAGCCAACCACCATGCCCGGTCCAGCTGCTGGCGCAGGGACCGCAGCACCATGGTCGCAAGCTACTCAGATGCCAGGTCCTGCCGGCCCTGGAGTGCCTTACTCAAGAGCGCCGTGGGCTTCGTCCGGCACGGGGAGCAATGCGCCATCAATGACGGCGCGGCCCCCGCCTCCTACCCAGCCGGCGGGTCTGCCGGGGACGGCCGGCGCGCAGATCACAATGACACGGGCGCCGTGGGCAAGGGGTGAGCCGGGGAGTGGTTGAGGGTCAATGTGAGGCCATGCATGGACCGAAGTTTGACTGTATTTGCTTCCGGGAATTACTCAGGACGCTTTCATAGGATTTTAGCTCCCTACCGGCATGGTAGAAAGGATTGCCGGCCATGACATGAATGTTAGGATGGTGGAAGAGCATGTGATCAGAGAGGGCTCCTCCCCTCTTATCAACGGTGGGAATAAAGCAAGGAGGCATCACATTGAACATCTATCAGGCGCGAGCCACGAACTGATTATGATTTATATGACTTGATGTATTCACACCTTCCAACGGTGCCCCTCCTCTTCCCACAACAAGTGACCTACCCCTAGAAATGAGCTTTAAATCGTGCATTTCCTTCTCATATGGTGCAATACTCGGTCCAGTTCCATGACTAAGCGGCACGAGGCGGTGTTCGGGGAAGGTATCAGGTAGTTTCCTGCGGCTCGCCCGCTTCCAATCTCGCTTGAGACATTGGTGCGCATCGGAGGATCAAGCCGCGCGACCAATTTGTGGAATAATTTACAGCGGTGCTCAGCAATCGTAATTTAGATAGCGTTCTTGATAACGGCGGGTTTACGATCCTGTGTGTCGAGATGGCCGATCTTGCAGGCACATCAGCTTGCGCATGAGCCCCCCCTACAGCTCCTCGCCAAGAAGCTCCCTCCAAGGTAAAAGGAGATCACCCAGGCTTCTCGCGGGCACAGAGCTTTTGAAAACACAGGTATATTTAGGGTATCTATTCAACTCTGACATGACAAGACCAAGGTGGTATTAGTAGAAGAGCAGACGCAAAACCGCAAGGCGTAGAGAGAGCGTGACGCTCATCCCGCCAGGGGTCTAGGTATCAAATTCCATGTCATTTGCCTCCTCGTCTTTTTTTCCTTCATTCGGCAACGCGATTCGTAACTTCAAAAAAGAGCAAGCAATGATGACCGCATCTCACGGGTAAGAAAGCCTTGACGAAAGAGCTTCCTCCCCGGTATTATCTTCAGCTCGGGGCTAGCCCGCGTAGGTGCGTGCTCTAAGCGGTGGGAGCAGCGGGGGCCGCGGCCGGGGCCGGGGCGGGAGCTTCCTCCTTCTTGGGCTCTTCGGTCGGGGCGGGGGTGGCCTCGGTGGGAGCGGGGGCCGCGGCGGCGTCTAGGAAGATAGAGATCAGCTAGAGCTCGGAACCGGGAGCGTGAGACTCTTCAGATTCGGATTCACATACCAGTGGTAGCAGCGGGGACCGGGGCTGGCTCCTCCGCCTTGGGGGCCTCGGCGGGCTTGGGCTCCTCAGCCACTGGGGCCGGGGCAGCTGCAGCGTCTAGAATTATGCGTCAGAAGATTTGGTCCTTGAGACCCGTCTACGAATAAGACGGGCGACCCGTGGTCTACATACCAGCAGCTGGGGTGGGCTCCGGGGCAGGGGCGGCCGGGGTCTCCTCCGTCTTGGGTGCCTCAACGGGGGCGGCAGCGGCGTCAGCTAAAAAGAGATATTGTGAGCATCTAGACAATCGGGAGAGGAACTGGATGGAGTAGGGGCCATCGCTTACTAGCAGGAGCGGCGGCCGGGGCGGTCTCGGTCTTCGTGGGCTCTGCCGGGGCGGCGGGCGTCTCCTCTGGCTTAGCGGCCTCGGTGGGCTTTGCGGCCTCGGGCTTCTTCTCGCTCTTCTTCTTGAAGATGGCTTTGAACTTGGACTTCAAGTTGTTGAGCGCATCGGGGGCTGTGAGCAAGAGTAGCGGTCAGCACCATCCAGAGAGGGGCGGGACACGTGGGCATCGAGCCATCTGGCGTCCCTTCGCACAACGCTCTTGCGATAAGGAAAGCTACTCGCGTAGAGTAGAACACTCGAATGCCCGCCATTCTCGCGAAGTAGATGTCATGTGTCCCATTTGCTGCGTCTGGGTTGAAGGCCGGGCAGTGAGAAGGGCATCACTTACGAACTCCAGGCATGTTGGCGGTTTGATATAATACTCTTCCTAATACGGATTCAAGACTATACTCGGCAAGTTAGAAGAGCTCTGTCGCAATCACAACTTGGGTGAGGCATACAGGATTGGTCAGGTACAACTCGGCAGATACCGGTTCTCTTTTCTGCGTTGATGATGAGGGAGAAAAAGGCAGACGAGACAGGAGGGAGCGAGGAGGGAAGAGCAGCGTAATATTTGGAGACGAGATGATCCAATAAATAGATTGGCCCTTGTCAGGAGCAAGGGCCGGGGGTTGGTTTGCACCACCACCACCACCACCCCTACAGCACCGCTGCGACACAACTCAACACTACGGTACCATGGTGGCCCTGGCCCTCTTATTACCCCAACACGACACAGACACCACAGACACACAGACACACGGAAGGTGGGCGAGTGAGTAAGGGTGAGACAGGCCTCTAGGGGGCCTCCAACCTCGATCCAAACATGCATGGCTTATTGGGACGATGCAGCACTCTGCAGTGCTATGCAGTACCGGTAGTCCACCACGGCCAATGTCTAAGACACTCTCCTCGCGCAACCGCCTAGCCTAGCGAACAAACAAGGGATCTTGTTTCTCATTGCGGTGGGACTTAATGCAGGGCCGACCCCCAATTTAGAAGCGCTTCTTTCTCTCGAGCCATTCTCCTGTTCTGTAGCTCCGGTGTTGAGAATTGTCGGTTATTACAGGCAACATTAGGTCATTGTACATGTGCATGTGCATGTACATCTGCCTCCTCTGCCGCGCTTATTATACCTGGCCCGGATGACGTGGTAGCTATAGAGAGTAGATTCTGAAGGAAGCTTCCAGTCAGACTCTGCTCTGAGGTGGAGAGGGAAAGAGAATACGAGATTGGGGAATGGCCAGTTCCCTGTTCCGAGGGAGATCCGGATCCTGGGAAATCTTGGTGCTATTTTGCCGGGTCTCGTTTTTAGTCCCCTATAGGTATCAAGTATTCAAGTATCAAGCCTACAGTATCTCTCTAGTATGTATGCATGTCTGGCCTGTGTGGGAATCAAAATACTTGGACGTGGCGCACCTTGCAGCTCGCGATATCGCTTTCGCAACGACTTTGATTAGCTAGCCAATTACATAGTTTAGGTAGTGAGTTGGCTGGCTGATGATCGGCTCTTCAGGGGACTTGGTCCACGGCCCTGCAAGCTTTCGTCAACCTTCGTTACAGTCAAAGACCACTGAGACTAGACTAGGGGAGCGCGTAATCTCAAACCTGGGGACCTGCCAAGCCACCTAACGGCCCCCGTTTCCAGCGCTAAATCTCGTTGGCCCCGGCTCAGTCCGATTCTGGACTCGATACACGGCGCTAATGATCAGCCGTCTCCTCCCTTCCATCTTGTGAGGCAGAGGGGATTCTGAAGAGTCAGGAGAGCAGGTTGAAGAATTCATGACATAAGATGGATCAAGTGTTCCAATTTCATATCCCAGTCTTACTCGTTGTCATCTTCGGATTGTACCACAACGTCCACGCAAAATATGCCATGACCACCGCGGCGGTGACTGGTGCGCTGATGTACCAGAACCAATGACCTCGTCCATCCCACGAATAAATCGGTGCATCCATGAACGTCTATATGCGAAGATCAGTCATCAAGATACTTTGGAGGTGGTCAAATGATCAAATCTCACCGCGATGAATGTTGCCGGAAGGAAGAACATCGTCAGAAGGGCAATTGCCTTCATCTGCTTGCCGTCACGGATGCTGATCCTTGCATCCTTGCGTGCGACGTCTGCGAGCTCCTACAGTTGGATTTCTATATCAGCATCTTTCATCCTGTCCATGAGGTTGGTGTTGCTCGGAGAAGAATCACACACCGCCTGGAACGCCAACGATGTCCCTTCCATCACCGTTTCACACCTGAGAATCTTCTCGTTGAATGAGTTCATAGTTCGGCTCAGATAGTCCCCAGGGTTGAACGCAGACTTGGCTGCCTGATCTTTTATCAGACTGGAGAAGAACTCGGTGCAGGACTGCATGTTCTGCAATTGGCCGTTCCATGTCGTCAGCTCGACCTTCAGGCGGCTGAGCTTGAGATAAAGCTTCACTAGGTTACCCGGATCCTGCTCGCTGAGAAGGCTCTTCGGGCTGAAGAGCGACGGCTTATCAAGACCTTTCATCTTGATCTCAAGGTCGTCGACTCGCTTGTCCACGTCTTCAAACCGATGCTTCTTTTCCAGCTCGATGAATATAGCCAAGAAGAGGAATGGATTTGACAAGAGGTGCTGGCCCCGCGCAATCCGGCTCTTAATGTGCCGGATATCTTGTGGCTCACATCCAAGGAAGACGCCGAATAGCTGCTTGGTGTCCGGGAAGTAGGTTAAGCATATCGCCGTGTGGTTTACAAGGATTGAATCCACACATAGAATGTACACTTGACAGCGTGTTAGTTTTGTCGAAGCGTCTTTCGAGATGCTCTACTTACCAACACATTTCTTGTCACCAACAGCACTGTCTGCCTTCCAGAATGTCGAGGTGGGTCTCGCAGTCAGCTTGGCAAAGGCATCATGCACATACAGCTTTACTACAACATCCTGAAACGTCTCTACGGGGAAAGGGAGGTGTTCCAGAACGTGGCGGTTATGTGCTGCTTCGCCGTCTTGTTTCGCGATGGAACGTGGAGGTTGCTGGCGTGCGCAGAAACTGAAGTCCGGTTAGTCGAATAGGCGTAGATTATAGACTAGTTTCGAATTGCAACTCACAGAATCGACACTGATCCTGTATGTTCTTGTTTGATTCCTGGAATATCCTGGGGAAGACGGGTAAGCAGATGTTGGTGAAGAGCTGCAGGAAGTGAGTAACTTACACTCAACCACTGCTTTCTCTGTTCCGATGTGCAGAGTAGCTTGTATGTGTAATCACTCTTCGAATTGTCAGAAATATCAATGCATTGTAGGATCATCGGGGACACATACCGATTCATTCTCGCGAACCAGAGCCTCGCAAGGCTGCTCGCCGAACTTCGGCTCAAATTTGAAGTGATTGAAGGCTTTGGTGCAAGTGAAATCAGCGGTATCTTTCCACAGCAAATCAAGATAATCCATTGTTAATCACAATCGTCCAGTAATCAGAACAAAATGATAATTGAACAAACCACAGGGATTTTGTATCAATTTTCATTACGAAACACTGCATATGGCCTCAGGTCTGGGCTACCTCAGTTGCTGCGGCTGATGGGTGACCGAAAAGTTGCCGCTGTCCTAGGTCACAGCGCTGAGCACAGCCACTCAAATGCGCGACGTCAGGCGGCTGCTAATACACAGACCGATCGAGGCAGAACTCCGAGGCTCTGTAAAAGTACTTGCGGCAGTACAATCACTGTTTGGAAATCACTACTGTACAGAATTATTCATATAGAGGTGACTGACCCTTGCCGCCACCAGAAGGTTCAAGTCCACACCACCAACTTCAGCTAGCACGTGTCTCTCGAAATGTTCAAAATCAAGTTGCCCAAGACACACGGGACAAAAGCTCCCAAATTGAAACAACAGCGGGGTATCATTTTGCATACTTCAAAGGTCGACATCTGGCTCTTGGAGCTCAAGTTGCAAGAGATCTACGGGAAGGGCAACTACTCCATTGATGTAAGCGTCCTGTCAACCCTGTCTTGTGCCATGTTGACGATTTTAGGGAAGCAATGGACTTGAGGATCGTTTAACTATTTCTGCCATCAGAGACTTGGAGCCTGTCAGTGAACTGCGAGATGAAGTTGTGGCATGCAACCGCTAATTTGTACCATAGGAGGAGATCAGGCAGATACTTCAGATGCAGCGTGACGATCCCGGCAATGAGACCGATGGAGAATACAACGAGACAATCCCACAAGCATCAGGTTCCGGAGCTGCAGATGACAGTCTAAGGAACGACTCTCAAGCCTCGGCCGAAAGTAGTTCACAAGATACTGCGAAAGTAAGCGACGTTGACGAGCATATAAGCAAACCTCGAGCTCGTCGACGAGAGTGGTGGAAACGTAGCAAAGCCTCCACGGAATCTTCTGTTGAATTAAATGTTATTGGGAGAAAGGTTATAAGATCTTTGGTGAACGGGATCAGATAGATCACAAAATGTGCAGAATAACAACTTGTTTTCACAGCTAATGATCAATGTCCTCGGCGTCATCTATGTGACCGACTGAGCTCTCTTCCGTACACGCTCTGTCATTCTCCTGCTGTCCTTTGAGACGTCTGAGTTCTCGACGCCGCTTCTCGCGCTCCTGTTCTCTTTTTCTCTCCTCCTTGCGCAAGTCTGCCTTTGCGCTATAGTTATGTTAGCAGGGTCACTTCAATAATGGGAGCGGGCAACATACCGTCCCTCCTGCCTAAACTTTGCCCTCGATTTTGAAGTTCGTAGGGTCTGCTCAAGACCTTTGATCTTTGTGCCATAGAAAACGGGCTTGCTATAGTACTCATCCTCTCTTCCGGCCAAAGGCTTGAGTTTGTCTACGAGTGCTTTGCTTGTGCTGCGTCTGTTTGTTGTCGACGCCCACAGCTTAGGACGCCTGAGGGTCGATTTGCTGTCTTGAGACTTGACCTCGCGGGATTTGTCCTCCAAGACTATCATTTCTGTTGGAATGAGGTCTAGCAGGTCATGAATAAATTGTGTAGTGCGTCCATCCGCGTGAAGCTTCTTGATCCACTGCAGAATTGTGAGCCACAATCACTATAAGTGCACGACCTAAGAGCATCTCACCTTGACTAACCCATCATTCAAATGAATACTAGCTTTGCCCCATCGCTCCTTTACCTTGTAAAAAGGTCGCGCTTGTAAAGCTGGACCGATAATTCCTTCTGTTCTCCTGTCATCTTGGAACTCAGACAATCCCTGAGAGCCAAACATGAGCCAGACTAGAGATTCTAGGAATAGACAGCCTAAAGTCCAGATATCCAGGGACTGATCTGTTTTCCAGGTTAAGCCAACTTCAGGGGGACAGTATGGATGGCCGGTGACCCTTGGCGATACTTCTACTATTGTCGTTGAATGATGGTATCGAGCAAGCCCAAAATCAGCAAGTTGCAAAATACCCATCCCTGTACCACCACTGTGCTTGTCGTTGAAAAAAAGAATGTTCTCCGGCTTTATATCGCCGTGGAATCCGCGATTCTTCGAGCCCTGATCTGAAAGCGTCCGGAAGAGATCGTATCGATGGATGACGTGCAGCGCTTCGGCGAGTCCACGATATTGCGAGGCCATCCACTTCGCCAGTCTTCCAATCTCGGCTTGTGACTTCAATCCTGGACTCGCGTTCCAGAACTCTCGGAAGTTTGAATCGGCACATGGGAAGACGAAAAAGTAGGTGGTGTCGGTGTCGGACGCAATTTCAAACGTCGCAAGCAGCTGTGCGAGATGGGCGGTTATGGCAGGATTTCCTGCCGCAATGCCATTATGCCTGGCGAGTACATGTGACTCCGCTAGAAACGTGTCGCGATTGCTTGTGTTGAGTTTCTTGACAGCAAAAAGCTGCTTTCCCTTCTCTTTGGCGATTTCCTATTTTGTTAGCAGTAGTCATTGCCAAAAGTGAAGTATACTTACTGAAGGATCTAAGAGACTATGATGATATGAATCGATATCCAGCTTATATACCCTTCCAAAGGCTCCTTTATCACCTAATTCTATGATATTGCTGAATGGAAGAACTACTCGGTCGGTAAAGCGGTAGTGTAGGCATTTCCCACTTTCCTCCTTCTTGAAGAACGGAGCACAGAGCTGCCATTGCCAATGGTCGAACGCCTTTACGTCCGAAGACTCCCAACTTCTGAACAACAGATGCCCGCGTTTCTCATCAGCCTTGTAGGCTGCTAGGAGGTAAGGGACGCTGCCCTTCCCGACCTTTGTCAAAGGTAGCTTCGAATCATCTAGCTCGTGAAGCAGAAAGTCATATATCCGCTGTTGCTGTTTTATAAGAATTAGGATGGCGAAAACTTTTCTGAAGGAACAGAATTTAGTATCCTGCTTGGTGGATGGCAGACCACAAATGCGCTGAGCCGCGACATCCTTCTCCTTGTGAGAACGTTCGCCGCAGTGGTCGAGCAGTTGGCGAACGAGAACTTCGTTAAAGAACTGCCAGATGCGGAAATCAGAAAGATAATACTCTGAAGATGAATTGAATTTGCTGTTGCTCTGGAGGAGCTCCATCAGCTGTTTTCGTACCCAGGGCAAAGTCGTATGAAGTGACAGCGCTGCTATCTCTGTTGAGAGAGAGACGTCTAGGGTGGTGTTATTCATCGATATAGAACTACTATCATTTGAGTAACCGTGGTGTTCGGTCGCCTCTTCCACTGAAAACTCTGAAAGAGCATTATCATGGGCTCTCACGATTGCCGATGTGACTTCGTCTGTCTCGTCTCCATCCGGGCTGTCGAATTTTGACCCGGCACCCAGGATCATATCATGCTGGCTTGCCCCGAGCACTTCAGATTCAGCGCCGAGATCAGGTCCGAATCGCTGTGCTAGAAATTCCAAGATGAAGCGACTGCTTTCGGCCTCTTCCACCTCTCGCGGTAAGACACTATGTTCGCTAGTGTGTCCACGACTGCGAGACTGATACGCTTCTTCCGGTGGTGAATTTCCTCTCAAGGCATCACGGGCAGCATCGCCTGTGCGACTCGATAAGATCGAATCACTAGTCCCATTTTCCACAATCTTTGGAGGTTCGGCCTTTCTCTTTAGACGTGACTTTTTGGCGTACTGCATGTTATCAGGACATTTGCTTCAAAAAGACTCGAGTCTGCAACTTACAATCAATGCTGAAACTGACTGAGAACCGCTCATTTTCGGTTCATCTTGCTGGTGAATTGGCTGGTGACCAGTTCTCCAGGACAAGAGCTGGTGTACCGGTGTTGTCATCCACTGTAGTCTTGACCAGAACTCAAGAATCAGCCAGTGCGAGACCCCTTGAGTGTGAAGCAATTCTAGTGCAGCTCAGTAGAGCGGCAATTGTCGCTTTTGATGAACAACTATGTACTTTGTCGGGGCGCAGCTGTTCCACGAAGACGAGGCTCTGCGGATGTGCCCGAAACGCCCCTGAAAAGAAACCCAATGGACGTGCCGCATCGTTTGTACAATTGGGTACTTGTAAGTGGCTTTGACAAAGAAACGCCTCGAGGACACACACCGAAACTCAGCTGAAGGTTGATCTGCAGCTATCGACAGTGCATATTGTGGAACATGGTCTGTATGAACACAAACGTGACCCTGCCTCGAAAATGGTAGGACATGAGCAGACGAACCCAACAACGATTTTTTTTTTTTCAGGCAATATGATGTATCACACTCTCAAGTCATGAGGACTACCGCATGTAGTCTTTGAATTGGTCAACCTATTGATGCTAACTAAGCTTGCAAGGCTTGTAATGTTTGGTTCTTGAGGGCGCCCAGCACTGCCTCAATGACGCCTATCAGTGGACATAATTAAGCGAAGCGAATGACCTATGACACTTCTCCCTGCAATATTCTACTTCCCAACTGAACGTATTCACCAATTTCTTCTCAGATTCGACACTCGCCAATTTCGTCCTGTAGCAATGTCAGATTCCGTGTGAAAAGACAATGTGTAGTTGATTTCTTGGAGGCCACCTACATTTGTTAGGGGCTCCGGTGCCCAAATGCGATATGACTGGTCATCCACCTCGACATGAAATTGTCCGTTGAAGCGATTGTCCAAAGTGTCGTAGAGAGCCCATCCGTTGATGTCGCTGATGTGCAGTGTCTGGATCTCTCGTTGGGGTATGAGCAACCCTTTGGAGGCGGCCAACTTCTCTCGAAAACCAGAGAATGGCGCAGCGAACAAGACATGGAACCAGTGCATTCTCGATTTGCTGAGAAGCAACGTCCGTACAGCGGTTTGTCGGTGGCGAATGGTTTTCTTGATCATTGACCGGAGCGGGTTACCGATTAAATATCGTCGAGTCCGATTTCTGGCGCGAGCCAGCCTCGTGAGGGCCGCAACAGCTGCCTGGACTTTGTATGCCTTGATTTCGCCGCCCAGGCGGCCGGGTGTCTGGTGGTTCACCACAGTTGCTCAGCCGCTCACCACGTCGCTTTTCAGCTGTGACACATACGAGAAGATGTATTAACCAATCATGAAAGGGCTACTCGGTGAGCAACAGCCGTGTACCAATTTGGTTTTGGCTATGATTTGGTCACATGTGGCGGAACTGCTGTGTGTTCAAGGTGTACATCCAGTGAATGATTCAACTTCATGGCTTGACTCCCGCGCAGCTGTCAACATCCTTAGCGACTCAGATCGTATCATGACACACCCCTCGTTACAGTTCATGAATGCGTCGTCAGTTCCTAGTAGATCAAGGCTTCATCGCAGTTTCAAGTACTATTCTCTGACAATATCAGGAAGAAAGAACAGTGAAAGTACATGGTTGCGTCTAGGTTTTATCACATCTATGTGTGAATAACAAGATACTGATCAACACTACAGTTCTCTACTAAGATTCGTATGGCAGCAAAACAAAGAGAGCAACTGAGGTATCTTGATTAAATCCAGTGAGGTCGTCAAATTAGGCGTTTTGTCTAACTCCTCATAGTAGTAAATCTGCTTATTCTGTAGCGAGAACTCCTTGGGCTCGGACCTCCTGGAGAACAACAGCTGGATCAACAACCGCCGTATTGGCTCTCTTCTTGTAACTTTTGTATCCCGGGATATGGATTAGGACCTTGTGCGCCTGCTTCGAGAAAGGCAGGTGACCTGTCCGCTCCTCGAAGAGCAGGGCGAAGATGCAAAGTATCAAAAACAGCCAGTAGACATTGTAAGAAATGATGGAGCCGTAAGTGCCAGTGTTCTGCCAGCCCAAGATAGCGTTGAACACATCCCATCCGTTATCCGTTTCCGGATTGCAGCAGTTAACATGGTATACAGTCTGCCTGATATTGTAGGAACCGTCCCCGCTTCCGACCTCTGCGACATCGCTGCCAACCTTCTGAGCAAACCCGTGGTATTGCAGATACCATACTGCCTTGGAAAACATGCCCGCAGCAATCAAGTATAGTACGCTTGTCGACGCAATTAGGAATATTTGTATCGACATGGCGTTGCCACCACGGTATAGCAGATAGCCGATGAGGAGAGCTGCGAGAATACCGCAAATGACGGGCAGTGGGAAGGACTTGGCGGGGAGGCCCAAGGAGACTCCGCCAACGAAGACGATGGCCTCGATGCCTTCACGCAGAGTCGTAATGAATGGTAAGATGAACATGACGTGCCGACGGGACCAATCCCCTATCCAGACACCAAAGCGGTCCCGATGCTTGGTTTTCGAGCGCTTGGCATGTGCAGCCAGAGCCTCAGCAATCTTTTGGCGCCATTTATCTTGCATCTTGTTGATACGCAGAAGAGCGAGGCCCATGACGGTGATGATGACGGTGGCAATCAAGTAGAAAATACCTTCCCAAAGGTCCTCGGACTGAGACCAAATATCGCGGCCCAGGCCATAAAAGACGCCGATGAAAGCACCGCCGATAATCAAGCAGATACCCACACCCGAGAAGGCGCCAATCCAGACATGTCGCCTTAGGCGTTTGTAGATTGCAGGGTCTTGGTCAGGTGTGTCAAGACATTGTTTAAGAAAGGAGAATAGAACAGATAAGACGACGATCGCTTCGAGACATTCTCGGAAGACGATGAAGAAGACCTGGACTGCAAAGACGTTGACCATGACTAATGATGTAAAAGGGCTGGATTGCACAGGCTAGGCTTGCAAGACCGACGCAAGACGAGGGTTGAGCTTCGATCAGGCTTCTTAGCGAGTGGTACGTCCTGTGTTATATACGGTACAGCCAACTTCTGTCCCCTCTCGGAATTATGCCGAAGTGAAAGGCCCAAGTTGTTTGAAGCATACGTGTTTAGCTCATCGTACTTTGGGTCCCTTAGAATATTTAGTGTGATTAGGAGGGTCAACAAGGATGTTGGCCAGATGTCAGCATGCGACTAATAATGTGAATGTGGCACTAATAGGTCAAGTCTGCTAGCTCATACGCGATGTTTTATCTGATCATCTGATGAGATTGGAGCTAATGTACGAACTATCAATATTATCCACACCAATTGGTGAGTAGCCATTCACAAAGACTTCCCAAAATCGCGCATGCGGAGCCGGTGGATGAGACGCCTTGAAAGAAGCAAAGCTTAGCGAAAGCTTAGCAAAAGCTTGACTGGCGTTTGATGTTGGTTGGGTAAGACTCCTCTCTCCGAACCCATGGAGTCATCTTATCTGATCGTAAGCCTATGAGTGCCGAGCTTGCTATGTCCAAGAGCATAGGTAACAGCTAAGCCTGCTGACATGTACTGTGCTAAGTTGAGAGATAAGGAGCTTTCGTGTGCTCAATGACTCCACACCATGCGAGCTCCTAGTCGAGCACACGTGTATCTCTTCTCATTTTGGTCTTGCTCTTAGTCCAGAACCGTTGACACGACTTTGATTGGACCCGCTGGAAAAGATGTGATAACAAGTCCCTCGAGCCAGTCATGGCAGCACCCTTCTCTAGCCTAGGCTCACACCTCTTATTTCTCAGAGACTTATTTCTATTGTGCTAGTTATAGCTATCACTTACCACAATTCGGAGGATCGCTCCTCGGGAAGAATTATTTGTCTCAAGATGCGGTTCCTTCGCTACGACAGTGTCGCCTTCCTATGCCCACTCGTGACATTGCTCTTGCCTTTTCTGGCGGAGGCTAAGACGGTTAGCTACGACTTCAATGTCACCTGGGTCAACGCAAATCCAGACGGGCTATTTGAAAGAAAGGTCGTTGGCATCAATGGACAATGGCCACTCCCAATCATCGAAGTCGACAAAGGCGACCAGCTCATTGTCAATATGTACAACGGGCTTGATGACGGCCATAGCACATCAATTCACTTCCATGGCATGTTCCAGAATGGTACCAATGAGATGGACGGCCCGTCGATGGTCACTCAGTGCCCGGTCCCACCTGGATCGAGCATCACATACAATTTCACGGTAAACCAAAACGGCACATATTGGTATCAGTAAGTAACATCCTAGCTCTTGTGGTTAGCACTGGCAAGGACACTGACAGGAGACTTGCAGCTGTCACACAGACTATTGTTATCCCGACGGTTATCGTCAAGCACTCATCGTCCATGACAAGGATGCTTACTTTACTGATTCGTACAAGGAAGAACTTGTCATCACATTGTCCGACTGGTACCATGACATGATGGATAAACTCAAAGAGTCGTTCATGTCGGTATTCAACCCAACTGGCGCTGAGCCAGTGCCGAATTCTTTCCTGCTCAATGACAAAATGAACACAAGCTTTGCCGTTGAGCCCAACACTACATACTTAATCCGTCTCATCAACCATGGTGCATTCGTTGGCCAGTACTTTTATATTGAGGATCACACGTTTCAGATCGTGGAAGTAGATGGCGTCTACACAGAGCCTACCGAGGCGTCCATGGTTTACATATCCGTAGCCCAAAGGTATTCTATCTTGCTCACAACCAAGAACTCAACCGACAAGAACTATGCTATCGTCACAGTGGCAGACTCATCGCTACTCGACGTGATATCTCCTGATTTACAGCTGAACAACACGAACTGGCTTGAATATAACAGCTCAGCGCCACATGAACAAGCCGTGATGAACGTGACGGATAGCACACAGCTGGCGCCCTACGATGACTTCGACCTCATTCCGTACGACCGCACGCCTCTTCTGCCTGAGCCAGACCACGAGATTGACGTAACAGTCATCATGCAAAACCTTGACAACGGCGATGGCTATGCTTTTCTGAACAACATTTCATTCACTGCACCCAAGGTGCCCACACTGTATACCGTTCTCAGTTCAGGAGAATCGGCGAACAATGAAGGGATATATGGTGATTTCACACATTCAATTGTGCTTCAACACAATGAGATCGTGCAAGTCGTGGTTAATAACGCTGACACCGGCTCACATCCTTTTCACCTTCACGGCCATAATTTCCAAGTTATTGTCCGCAACCCACCACTTGGCCCGCACTTCTTCGACTTTGCTGACGGAGATCCTGTCCCATACGATCCATCGAATCATTCAGCCTTTCCGGCCTTCCCTATTCGCCGTGACGTGATGGTGCTACCTCCTCAAGGCCACTACGTGATCCGGTTTGTCGCTGATAATCCTGGCGTCTGGCTTTTCCAGTAAGTAGTCCCTCACCGCTTGCCTTCTCTCCTAGGCTGTCATGGACTAGCCATTTTGGGTGTCATTCCCTGCCCTAATGCCTTCATTTGATGATCTTCAATTTTCATCCCAAATGTTCGCAGCACTCAGTGTAATAAATGTTAACTCTCGAAAATAGCTGTCACATTGACTGGCATCTATCACAAGGCCTGGCGATGGTCATGATCGAGGCTCCGATGCAGATGCAGGAGCGCCTGTCTATACCTGAGGATCATCTTGCCGTATGCGCCGCTGCTGGGGTGGCAACTAAGGGTAATGCTGCGGCCAACACAGAAGATCTGTTTGACCTGTCAGGTCAGAACAAGCAGCCCGGCTGGATTCCGGGCGGTTTCACCGCGCGCGGTATTGTGGCTATGGTATTCTCGTGTACATCCGCCATTCTGGGTATTGCTAGTCTGGTGGTGTATGGCCTGTCGGACAGACGTCATGTGTCTGTCGTGCCAATGACCAATCCACAGATCCAGGAACCTTACCATGACGAGCAGAATGAAGTGGTGGAGATTGTTCGTAATGATGTTGCAACAAGTCAGAAACAGACCTAGGAACTATTTAAGGGAAACGTTTATCTTTGGCAGATGTCTCACAATTATGAGCTATCTAATAAAATATCATCCTGAGAGAAAATCATCATCCACAGGTTAAGAAGCATCGAATGAAGTGTCGATAGCAGTGTTATTATCCTGATTGTTTCTGTTTGTATGTTATCTGCGGCACCACATACAATTGAGAAGTCGGTTGTCTTTCGGGCTATCAGCCCAGTGTATGGATTCCGTTCTGAGCTTTACTACGCTGACTCCATTCAGGAGGCGCATCAATACCATCATCCTCTTCTTTCTCTCCTTGTTCCTTAGTTTGATGGACTGTTGTCGTTTTATGCTCTGCCGGCGAGAAGATTGTGTATAGGCCGAGTGGTTTTGTCCCAGTGTTGAGAAACTGGTGTTTCGTACCGGCGGGAACGTTGACAAGATCACCAGCCTTCACTACCTGTTCTTTGCCACCAACCTGTGCTAGTCCTTCTCCGGATTTGAACGTAAGGATTTGGTCGACCGTGTGTATCTAAGAACAAATAAATAAACGCGAGAAGCTAGGGAATAACTGAGATTTTATCTCTTCGCCAGTGTCTCCGTTGACGGGTACTGTCATAATGACCAGCTGACTGTAGAGGCCAGTCCACAGTACTCGACGAAATTCGTCAGTCTCCGACGGCTGTAAATTAGCTAGCTGTGCAAAGAACTCCATCTGCTGTTTTGGAGGGTCATTCGAGGGTTGCATGAAGGAGGCCATAATCTGGATACTTTGCTCGCATATTAGGTGTTTGCTCTGAAGACATGATGTTGGTTATTAAATAATCAAACCACGGGAAGAACTTGGAAATAAGCTGTTCTACTTCTTGTTGTCATGGCTGCGATCTTCCGTAGCATTCAGCGTCTGTACGACTTTTATAGAGACAAATAGATATCTATATCACACGTCATTTCTTGCAGAGCTCTCGTTCATCACAGAGCATTTGCGGTTTCCGAGAACCTCTTGTCACTCACTACCCAGTCCTCGGCATATCGGGGATGATCGGATAGGTCAACCCATTTGTTGCTTGTGACACATCAGTCACTGACCAGGCATGAATGGAGGGCCATCTGGCTTTGACATCTATGGCAGAGTAAAAAACGCCACCTCGCTGGCGAATGGCTCTTTCAGACTAGTATAATATCGTAGGATAGTCTCGCCGGAGACTACTATTTATGATTTGAAAATCTACTAATTCCTGTATGAACGGTCACAATGTTGAAAATTGAGATTCTGCCCTGGTAAGAAAACTGAATTTCATCACCGAAAAGATATATTATTCGTGAGACAGCCTGTGCTACTACGCCCGAGCACAGGCGACAAAAAAGCATCATTCTGCACCTTGGCATCGCTAACAACAATACCGCAAAGCAGTGAATTTTGGCCTTGGTCTATTTGATTTCCCCGATTCTCTTGAAGTGATTCGTTCACTTCTGTCTTCCAATATAAACTTAAGGTTCTTCAGAAAGGGTAGGCTAATCTCCGCTGTCAACTGCGCGACCATCCTTTTTGGTGTTATAGCATCGTATAAAATAGTCTGATGCAAAAAGTTAACAAGAAACCCTGGATCACATTGAATACGGTAGTGAGCTGAAGTCTCTGGGAAGCAGCTGGTAGCGGATTCCGCTAAACGCTGTTATAGCACTTAAATAGACGTCCTGTTTTAGCAGCAGCGGGACATGAAACCGGGTCGGCACTGGGGGGCTGACAACGCATGGGGCGTGGCGGAGTCATCCTTCGCGGGGCGTAGGGCTTACATGGGACAGTAGTTTCGATGAACAACACAATTCCCATTCTATTTTGGCATCACTCATGAGGCTATCGCCAGATGTTTCCACCCATGGCTCATGACAGCCGTCAAGAGGATCTACCAGTGCCTTGTAGCGTGCGGTTTTGTGGTACCCAGCCGAGAATAGAGAGCTATCGCACACCGATCCGGGTCCGGCAGATCCCATTATAGCAAGATACTGCGATGCTCGAAGGAATTTGCCCGTGTAAATGCTGTCAAGCAAATAGAAATGCCAAGGACAAAACTTCGCGCGAAACATCTATAAGTGATTCCATGCTGCTCTGCAGTACGATCTCGGAATGCCTCCTCTCCTTTACTCTCATTAAGAAGATCAAGCAAAACTTTCTTAGTTTCCTTTGTGTTCCCTTTGTGGTTTCCTTTTCGTAAATTAGACTGTTCTGGCATTTGGTGTCTTTTCTGCATTTTCTTATCTCTCATCACGATGTTCAGACTTGTGGATCTACTTGTCATGGCGACTCTCGCCTTCGCCGCTCCCGCCCCTGCGACCAAGAGGGCCAACGAGTCGGCAGTCGATCAGTATTTACCCCCGGCAGTCAAAGCGAACTCCCGGGCCGGCGATGCCAGTCTCATCCAATCCTTGCTACTAGCTCCCACCCAAAAGCAGCGGGTTAATCTACTGAACCAGCCCGGCGACTTCATTTTCGACTTCACCAACCCACCCGAGGGTGCGACCTCGACGGGCAAAGGTATGCTTCGCCTGCACAACGTGCCGCGCTGTCTAAATGCCGATGGATACTAACCAAGACTCATCATAGGAGGTAAGATCGTCTCCGCCAATGCCGAGACGTTCCCAGGCCTTATCGGCAATGGAGCAGCGATGACGGTCGCTTTTCTTGGGCCTTGCGGTCTCAATTCGCCGCATGTGCACAACCGCGCGACCGAGCTCAACATTCCCGTCAAGGGCCGGCTCGTGACATCCTTCTTCGAGGAGAACGGCGTCACGGCCCGCGAAGATTTGGCCGAGACCTTCACCCTGGCCGTTTTCCCACAGGGGTAAGTAATTACAGCAACCTCGGCCCAATCAAGTGGAGAAATGTTCTCGCTGACAGAAGATGCTACAGAGCTATACATGCTGAGTACAACCCGGACTGTGAGGATGCTGTCTTCGTTGCCGCGTTCAACAACCCAGACCCCGGCGTTGAACAAGTCGCTCAGGCCTTCTTTAACCTTCGTGAAGACATCGTGCAATCGACGCTCAACGGCGTAAGCATGCTCAATGGTGAGGATATTGAGAGCTTCAAGGATGCGCTGCCCGCCAACATCGTCAATGGCGTCGAGAGCTGCCTGGCCAAGTGTGGTATTGCGAAGAAGGCAAAGAGGGCCATGGCCCAGGTTCTGGCTGCCTAATTGATAGAGATAGATTAACTTCTTCATGAAGAGGTGCCGCCTGCCAGCAATTCACGCTGAAAGCCATTGTCAGCGGATACATCTCGTAAATCTCGGCTTCATTTGGGATCCATGCGAGTCTACCTCTGGCTAAGAATTCATCATGCCCATTCATTACAGTGGCTGCAAGAAGCCTTTCATCACATGTACATAATTGATACCCTCGAATTATCGGCCTAGGTTTAATAGTTCATAGGCGTTAGGGACAGGCGTCACAGGCGTCAGGTATAGACATTATTGACTTTACTGAGTCCCTTGACATGAGAACTCGAGATAAGAGAAGCATTGAGGGAAAGATATACTCTGGCATACCAAATGATACAAGGCATGACCTCGCTGGCAAATACCTCTTTGGGACTAGTGTATGAGATGAAATCTACCTCTCATTCCTCGATTCGCTGAGTAAAGGAACAATCGGTTTCATCCTACACAGATGCACGATGGTACTTGTATTAAGGCGGGTCGTTTTGGAATAAGACCTAATTTTGGTATCACACCCTTTTCCAATATCCTTGGAGCTGCGTGCTTCTATAAAATGTCGGGATTGGGTGACGGGATACTACAGAGTGAACGAGCCAGGAATCGTGTCGTGACTGTTAAAAGATATATTTCTGGATACTTGAAACATGATGCTTGAATATTCAGAAGCCTTGATGTATTGAGCGCAACTCATGGCGCCGCAAGCGTGGCGAAACCGAATGTCAAGTCGGAGATATTGGGCATGATCGCTGCCACCTCGCTCCGACACCTTCAGAACAGGAAAGGCGCATAATCAGTCGTATTCTACACGAACGACGAGGTTGTCCAAATATAGCAACTTATGGGACACACTACGATTTATGGATAGTTTCGCATTCCCTTGAAGAATAGGATCACTCTACCTTGGATAATTACTAATACCCGAAGGCGTCCATCATTGCCCCAAGTTTATCAAACTCGTATAAGTGTTACCTGCCTAAACATTGCAAACGAATTTGAGGACACAATCTCATATAGTCTTCAACCTCTAAACATCCAATTATTCTTTTTTAACTTATTCTTTCCGTGATGGCTTCAACTTTGAATCCCTCTGCTCTAACCGGCAAGCATGGTACACTTACTTTTGTCCACGGTGTAGTGAGGAAAAGACCAGACTGACCACCAACGCAGGCAATCTACGCCAGGATTATATAAATGACGGGAAGCCAGATCGCAATCCATCGTATATGCCACAAGCAATGGGGTACCAATTCCCCATCCTTACGGTAAGACACATTCTTGGAATCATCTGGGTAGCATACTAATGTATCTCTGAGTACAGAAACTCAACGAGCAGGAGAAAACGGGCCGCTGCTCCTTCAAGACTTCCACCTAATTGATCTCTTATCACATTTCGATCGAGAAGAGATCCCAGAGAGGGTGGTCCATGCCAAAGGCGGTGGTGCCCACGGCTATTACAGAACGACAAACCCACTTGACGACCTTCGTCTTGCCGACATTTTTTCCGAAGAAGGGAAAGATTGCCCTATAACCATCCGGTTTTCCACCGTTGGTGGCGAGAGCGGTTCTCATCTCTGAGGTCGATCAGGCACCGACTGTCACGTGGCGCCCCTTATCTCGCTTGTAATATCAGAGATTAGTTGGCAGGCAAGGCTGATTCTTTGAATCGCCCGTCCCAAATCGGATGTGCACTTGACATCATATCGCTCGCACGTTGCATTTTTGAGATAAGACATAAATTAGACATTTGGGCCATGCAAAGGTCTGACTCGTAACGTAGAAGACAGCAGTATACCCTCAGATATCCAGAGCGGCTTTGCGTATAAATTCCGGAAGCCCATTATCACCCTGAAGAGAGAACTTGTCTAAGCCGATGCGGTGGGGGCGGGTTGACAAGCATTTGATCATGAGACCAGATTCAGGGCAATTTCGGGCCCGCTATCACGACTTTCTTACGCCTAATTACTCATTGGCGATGAAGTGCAGAGACCCTAATACTATACTACTTAGTAATACAAGATCTAAAGGAAAGGGCGATCACTGTAATTCGTAATTTGGCCGGTTCGGACCGCTTGTAGTGGTGCATTAGCGGCGCTAGAGGACCCTCAACAGCGCTAAATTTATCACTTCAAACCCGCTTCTTTTCACATACGCAAGGATGCCATGCACGACATCGGATGCATATCGTACACGAGATATGTTGATCCAAGGCCACTACTGATGGTAATGTAGATATCAGATAATGGGCCAACAGAAGACCTCGGCACCAAAAAACTGGCCCGAGAGCATAGTCTATCTCACCACACCAGCGTACTCTCCACGCCTCACAAAGGCTCAACTGCAGGCAATCCGGATCAAGGACGCAAACTTGCCTGAGATACCACGAGATCTCAAGCCCGGTCCATGTCCCCTTGTTAAGATTACGCCGATCAGCGACTCGCAGCACCCGGCTTACGGGCAGGCCGGACTCTGCGCAACCCGCGCTTTGCCGCCAGGAAGCTTGATCATGCCATACTTAGGCGAGCTGCATCCGTCCTCAGCGTCATCTCACTCACAGTCAGACTACGACTTGTGGCTGTCCCGGACGGCCGACGTCGCCGTTGACGCAGCCCGGATGGGCAATGAAGCTCGCTTTGTCAATGACTACCGAGGCGTGCCAGGCCAAAGCCGGCCCAATGCCGAGTTCCGCGAGGTGTGGGACGCAAGGCGTGGTGAGATGACGATGGCGGTATTTGTTCTGCCAGCTGGAAAGAAGGTGACAGCTAAGGGTGGCAGTGGTGGTGCCGGGATCGCAAAGGGCGAGGAAATTCTCGTCAGCTACGGCAAGGGCTTCTGGGAAAAGAGGAAGGAGGAAGACGTGACAACAAGCAACGATGCTTAATTTTGATTCCAACGTCTCTCATAGTCTTCGCCTTACCTTTGTATCACCAGGGCTCGGCCATAGTCTTTAAGCGGCAGTCCTTCTCACGAAAGTCGCCAGCAAAGTATGGGATGTTTTGACATCGGACATGATCTGGACTGAAGTACTTCTAAACTGCGAGGCCACGGTAGTCTTCCGTGAGGGAAGCCAATGGGAGATAACCAAGGTGAAGAATGTTTTCATACACATCATCCAACTCTTGGGCATGATTCTAGGCCCAGGCATTGCTGTGTCGCTAGGCCAGTGGCCCAATAAAGCAACGAAAGTCGTATAAATCTCAAATGCTAATCATAAATGGCATTTCCAATATGGTCATAGATGTACATTGCCCTAGCCTCCCAAATAATTGAACAGATCGTATATCTCTAGCGTTCCCGCTTATATCAGACCACAATTGAGCGGTATGCTACCTGACACCAAGTTTCTGGACAATGGTCTGGACATCCGCAAAGGCAAGCTCCTCCATTGTCTCTTTCCACAGACGCTGAGTGACCTCTGGCGCCTTCGGCGAGTACACAAACGGGCCCTTACTAGACGAGAGCCGGCCTGTTAGCAAATCTGCGGAGCATAAATGGGATACCGTGGCCGGGACTTTAAGCTTACGGTCTGATCCTGTCAAAGTCGATGACCTCGCCATGTGACTCCTCACCCTTCTTGAGCGCCGCATCGAGGATGACATGTGCACCAACGGCGGCCTTGCGCCCAAAAATGCCAAAGTATATGGCAAGTGGAAAGCGCATAAAAGTGCCATCGGCATCGCGAGCCAGCCCAGAGCCGGAGCACAGACCTGGGTAGGCGGCGTTGACAATAGCGACGGACGGCGGAATTCGCTTGGTCAACTCCGTCAGGAAGAGGAGATACAACAGCTTGGAAGTGCCATAACGTTCCTGCATGTCCCATTTCCATTTGCCGCTCGTATCATCCAGAGCAGCTAGCAGTGGATTTGCGTCGCGCTCAACGAACTGTGTCGTGCAAGCCACATCTGTCGACACAACAGTCAGGCGACCAGGCGATATGGGCGAACGTTTCTTAGCTTGTAGGATTGGCAAGAGCAGCAGAGTTAGTAGGCTGGTGGAGAGGTAGTTGGTCTGAATATCTTCTTCATGGCCGGTAGATGGATTGATGGTCATATCGATCCTGTATACACCGGCATTGAGGATAACAATGTCTAGATGCTCGAGCTGGCTTGCACGTTCCGCAAAGCTAGTAATGGTGTCGTACTGGAGCATGTCCAGCTTCCAGACCTCAATGATAGTGCTACTACCTGATCCGGACTTGCCCTTGTAACGGGCCGTCAACTTCTCGGCGGCCGCTTGACCCTTGGCCTCATGTCGAGCACTGATAATGAGCTTGCCGATGTTCAGGGCGAGGAGCTGGTCGGCGAGCTCAAAACCAATGCCTTGATTCCTACCTGTGACAAGTGCAGTTTTATCGGTCAAATCAACATCAGTTATCGGGTGGGGAGATTCGAAGAGCTGACGCCGCATCCATTGCGGAAAAGTCGCAAACTTTTCAGGTGTATAATCGTACTTAGACTCCACTATTGTGTGTTTTGTACAGGAAAAAAATCAAATTGTGTTTCAAGGCTGGTCGTATTTGAAGCCCAAGATCTAGGTATTCTTTCCTAGTGCCGTGCCGCATGCTACTCTAAAAATAGGTAGTGCTCCGTAATCAAAACATCCACAACCCCCGAAATAGTATCTCCGCCGTCTTTCTTGTGTTGAAGGTCTCTCGCGCGTTTAAACACTTTCTTACGAATAGTTATCTCAAAGAGCCCATGTTGATTAACATATTGATTTAATTGGGAGATATTGCCCCCCCCCCCCCCCCCCCCCCCCCAAAAAAAAAAAGTGATTACTTAAGTATCCGCAGAGATATATCCAGTTTTATTTTAAGTTGCTGATAAGACCATGAAAATAGCTGTGATAGCGATTGTCCTCGATAAATAGGTAGAATGCTCCTTTGCCAAGTTAATACAGACTAGAATGCTACCCGAATCTTGCCGTCGCCCAATTCTTTTTTCGTGAGTGAGCCGGTGCTGCTGCTGCTTTAACCTGTGTAGGGGGTGTGCAGGTTGGTGAGCAGGAGGTGCGCTTAGTGTGTTGATTGTGGCGCTGTTTGGGAGCCTCAATTTATCATCCCAGGACAGATAGCTTCACCAAGCGAAATTGGTGTCTTGAAGGGCCTTGTTCCTTCCAGACTCCAGCCTAAGTTCTATCACCTAGCGGCAAAATACCTTGCGCCCCCAGCCATAGCTTCAGTAATTGTTCGTCGGTATAATAGCCTGCACTCATAACAGAATTGGACGCGTCATCTATTTGACGCTGAGTTTGGATCTCAGCAACCTGGATGACAGGAGAAGCTTGTAGGGACACGACACGCACTGCCCGCAGCAAGCACGCATGTCTCGCCGGGGAAATCAACCAGATCGTTGCGCACGCACATATACTCACTCGCGCGGGCTGCTCGTTCGTACAAGGTAGCCTCGCGTCCTCGCGCATGTCACCATCATCTCTGTCAGCTCACATTTTAAGTTACATACACCGTAGAGCACCCCATGGTCATTTCAGCAAGCTCCTTAACCTCTAAACGGGGTTAATAAACGCAAGTGCTCAGAGGGGGATTGGGATAATACCTGCACCTGGTTCTTACTTGTCGTATTTGCGGACGCACCAGGAGCGAGAAACAGGTGGGCAAGTTCGTTCTTGCTCTTCTGGATGTCGACGACGTACTGCCACACTGTGAGAATTCAAAGATGGACACAAACTGAACAAGGGGCTATCGGATATTCACATTTTCGATGGAATCTCGAATTACCAGACGTATGGTTGTGACATCTCTCGTTTGCCCTAAACGGTACACCCGCGCGAGGGCTTGTTCCTCGATCGCTGGGTTCCATTGGGGTTCCATGAGATAAACTCGTGATGCTGCTATCAAGGTAAGACTGTCATTTTCATTAGTGAGCATGGCATCAGTGTGAAAAACTCCTCCAACCTACCCAGTGGAGCCACATGAGAGTGACAGAAGAAGCACTCGGGTTTGGGCGTTGCCTGAAAAGTCATCCAGAATTTCGGGACGACGCTTGCTGGGCACTTTGCCGTCTATCTGGACACACTGGATACCGGCATTACAAAGCGCGGAATTTGCCAGGTCAAGGGTTGTCTTCCAAAATGAGAATACGATACTGACTGAGTTAGCCCCCTTAAAGTTGTACTATTACGCTCTGTCAACGGCCTGAGAGATCAATCATACCTTTTGGCAGTATGGCTATTCTGGCCCAAGTCATCAACCAAAGCCCGAATCTTTGTTGATTGCATTGGATCGAGGGCTGGGGTGGCGTTGCAGGAGGAAGTCCCAAGCTCGACTCGCGTGTAGGGACATTGTGGATTACAAGTGCAGTAGTTCTTGTAGGATAATCTGTTCCCGGATTCGGCCACACAAAGCGAGCACCAAACAGCGACACACCTCGTTACTATGACGAATGGTCGACTACTCTGATCGGTGGTGTCTGTCTGAGGATCTATGCCTTGCAGGATGTCAACCTCTCGTTGGCAAATTGCGCACATCGTTACCATCCCGAGGAGGGCGAACTCCTCCAATATCATCATAGCTGCTGTCGTGTCCCAGGTATCGCACCATTCAGACGGCTCGGATGACGATGAATAACGCGATGGTATGTATGATGACTCGTACGCAGCCGAAGTGCCAAGATTACAAATCATCCTCAGGTTGTTTATCTTCGCAAGAGCATTGATGTAGTTGTTACCTAGCTTGCCTGAAACAGGGATCTCGTCAAGAGCGGACACCGCCCGCTCCTTTGCCTTGTCGTAACATCGTTGCTCGTCAATGTCAAAGTTTAGTAACAATTGCTGATCCGTTCGCTTTGGTAGCTGGAGGATAGAGCTCGGCCGTCTAAGCATGATAAACCGAAAGAGTCTCTTCAACCGCGAGATAGCCTCGTCTTCAAGTCCCGAAGACCACAGATCCGCAAAGTCCTTATCAAACGCATCTCTATCAGAGTAGGGATATATCTGTAGAAACCGGAGAAAACTGCTGACTTCGGAGAGCCGATTCTGTATGAGCGTCCCTGTTACTACCCACCTTCGTTCGGCTTTGAGAGCAAAAGCCGCCTTAGCAGTAGCTGTCGTAGGATCTTTAATCTGATGAGCTGTGGCAAGATCAGAGTTCAGCCCTCCATTCATAAGATCGAAGAACCTACCTTCATCAAGGACTACACGATGCCATTCATGATTAAACAAAACACTTTCATGTCCTTTGTTCCTCCACTCGGCTGCTAGTGTTAAGTAGCTCGTCAGTATGATCCTGTAGGAAGCCATGTCCCCTTGGCTTCGTAGTCGTTGACTTCCATGGTGACGTCGCCACAAGAAATTGCCACTATGGATATGTCTGAAGGTGTTAGATCGTGCTGGGTTCACGGCTAGACAGTGCTTACTTCTTGAGTTCTAATTCCCAGGTTTGTAACACTAACATATATTAGCGTGGAGGACCCGAGACTCTGTATGAAGATGGAAATACGTACATGACGGTGGGACTACTAGCAAAGTAGACATCATCTTATAGCATGCCTCTGGCTGCTGATCTTGCGCGATAAGCGATATCATGCTCAGGGACTTGCCAAGACCCATTTGGTCGGCCATGATACCACCGCGGAACTGTGGTGGAGGTTCATATTGACTCGTGCCATTGATGCTATTAACAAACCTGGCATTCATTAGAGGTATCAAAGCACATTTCGGAAACTTGCTACTGACATCGGTTCTCCGGCTTGGTCAGCGTCCATATACCAGACGTCTGTGTTGGGTTGGTACGTCCAGCCCTGTTCTCGTCGAATCATGAACGTGAGTCCTCTTTTCTGATGCCTGAACAAAGTAAGTGGTACAATACGATGCCTTGTGAGACTAGTGTACAATACTCACGGTCTGAGAATCGTGGACAGCAAGGGTGAGCCTTCAGTCTCTGGCAACGCATCCTCCGAGACGAACTCAGCAAGCCTGTCAGGCATCGATGCGGATGACCATTCAATCTTGTGCGGCTGCAAGCTCTTTTTGAGGTCAGAAGTCTGAACAATAATATCATTCTGGAACGCATGTGGGTTCCAGTACGGAACATCCCTTTCTGCATAAATGGGGCATTGCAAGTAGATGTCCAGGTCTTGCAGAAGCTCACCAACATCACTTGCAATGTCCTTTTCGCCAAACAATGTCACCCACAGCTTCCCTTGAGTATCACTTCTCGAAGAAGAAGCTTCGATAAAAGGTATCCAAAGGATTTCAAAAATGATTCCCTCACGTTTGAACAGCTCGAGTAAATCGGTATCCTTTTGGTCCAGAGAAGCGCAAGGCTCAATGCTATTGAAACTCATGAGCTGCGAGCCAGTACCTAGCCAAAGGCGCATGATAGATCGCAGACTCCAAGCCTGAGTAGCAACGGGCTCAAAAGAGATGATCTATGGCAGTGAGTCTGCCTATCTACTCAGTTGCTGTGAATAGGCGGTTGACTTACAGATCCGAAGCATACATAAAGCGCTGCTCCTGGAGTCACAGAGGCCATGGGCACACCATGAGGAGTATTCACATCATACTCCAGCCTCGAACTCACTGGCCCTATGTTTGTCGTAGTTACGTCAGAATATACGTGGAGGTTTTCAGTAGCCAGCTGCCTTTCGGTGCTTTGGTTGCTCGATCCGTTCATAATATAGCCGCCCCAGCTACCATCTGAGTTCGTGTAGTCATGAATGAGAGAAATATCAGAGAGATCTAGACCTTGTCGCTTGGTTGGATTGCCTCTTGATTGTATGGCGAAGTGGTCGTAACCTCGTCAAAGACTCGAAGCCCCTGTTGTCGTAAAGACGTGAGATTCATGGAACATTACCGTCTCAGTCGGCATTCGAGCGCAGTCGGGAACTAGGTGGAATGAGTTGACCGATGTCAAGAATGAATACGATGACGACCTAGTGGAAATTGTTGTGTTGCAGTGCTCGGGTCTCCTGATTCCCTATGTCAATAGGATGAGAGAAAGTCTGCCGGGTCTGCCTACCGCACCGAGATATGCAGGGTGACTTGTTCAATGTTTCACGGCATCGTCTGTGCCAATGAACGCAGCCCAATGCTTGTGGGCAGTGTTTTGCTGATACAGTGGCATTGGGCAGAAGCAATGAGGCAACCGGCAAGGCTCTGCGGTTGGCCGAGGCGGGCCAAACCTAGTGGGAAGCTGAAAAGGCGAAGTAGTTAACAACAATAAAGGCGCGTTAATAGCCCCGAAGCGCTCACACTTATTACCTCCGTAGAGTTGTTCCCGTGGGTACTCCTCTTTCGACTTCCGTACAATCCGATAATTCTGTTTTGATCATTCCTTTGCAATGGCAGAGATCATAATAGAGCGCTCCTGTCGGCGATTCCGTAGTGAAATCAAGTCGGAGCATGATCAATTGTTTCGGACTACATCGCTTGATGATGTCAAGCAAGCC